TATTCTATTACGGAGCATTGCATGAATAAAAGAGGGTGTGAGTATCATACCATATGATATTAGAAATATTTACCCCAAAAAAACCCTGGGAAACAACAGGAAACATAATATGTTCCCACAGGTTCAGGTGAGGTTTGACCAGGAGCTCCTTGGGTTTTGAAAGAAGGTTACATTCTACAGCTCAGGAACTGGCAGAACATTTACCTCTTTAAATCTGGGCTACTTTGGTTCTGGGACAAATCACAGTGGCACCAAATTGGTGTATGATACCTACAGTGTGAAGGAGATAAAAGTGTGTGTGCTGGGTATTCTGGCCTTGCTGGCTTCCGTCCCAGGAACTACCCACTGATGTTTAGCTTGCAAAGAAAGGATATGACAGCCTCTGACAGTACATCTGCTTCTTCTTCCTCTGGTGGACTCAGGCCAGAAAGGGTCTTCCTCACAGACTTGCCACAGGTACTGTGCCAAAGAGGTTGTAAATATGTGTTGCATTGGCAACCAGCATATGCACAAAGGAGATCCATGGATATCTGAAGGCACTCAGAGTGAGAGGGGTGATGAATTGTACTGCAAATCAGACAGTAAAGCTAAAGGGAAAAGGCCAGATCAAATATTAATGGATATGAAATATTAAACATATTCTTCTATTAATCTGTAAACTTTGGGAAGTGCCTTGTTTTTTTCTGGAGTGTGTTTACCACACTTGAGGGATTTCTTAAGAACCATGCACGTGTTGTTATTCTCATCTCTCTACAGGATCTCTGTCCTAAAACAATGAGTTACGGACTGTGACAAGGAAACTGTTTAGCATCAGAGCGCTGTGTAGAGACAGTCTGACGTCCAAAAGCGTATTTATGGACCCTGTTGGAAGTATGTGTTGGCTAATGTTGGCTAGACAATGTGGTGAGTAAATCTACAATGTTAACAACACTTAACGCATTAAACCAAGAGGCCCTGTGCAGAGTCAACCACTGTGCAGCACAGCCCATATTTTTTATACTTCCCTTTGTATCGTGAACTGCAAATATTTTCTTGATTATCCAAAATGTGTCCATTTTATTTCCCTTTACCCTCTTCATAAAAATGAATGTTGGTAGGGTTTAAATTCTGGACTCCACATCAGTCTGAAAAACTCATTTCATGAAGCATCAATTGAAGGCTTTTTTATGTTTTGCCTTCTGAATTGCAGTTTTTCCCCAACCATTTTAAGACATGGTTAGAATGAAACCAGCCTTCTCCTCACCAACAATCATAAAACAGTTACGTGTACCTTTACGATTGGGTGCTTTGCGCTCCTGCCGTATGGTCGCCTCGACCAATTGTGCAATTAACCAGGTGTATGGCTGTTCGTTTGTGTTGGATTTGATAATAAGTTTGAGAGAGCCAGAGCAGAAGCCTTTCTCATATTATTTACCGGAGGCTGTCAGGCCCCAAGATTGCCAGAGGCAATAATTGCGCCTGACAAAGGGGACAGAAGGTGGTCAGCCTCTCACTGATCTGATAGAGCGCCATGATTGAAACTATCAGTCTGAATCGCTGTGCTCAAGCTCTTCTTTTTTTCATTCCTTTCTTTCTTGCACCCTCCATTTCTCCCGCTGACTGCTGCAAGGATTTATCTCTGTCCCGACAGCCTTGTTGTCTCTCATGCTCACTTGCACACTCATATTAAGACTTATCTATGCGCACAAAATCAATGCAAAACGTATGGCTTCTCTCTGCTGGCTTTACATCCACATCGTTCCCCCCAAGGTGCACTAACACATTACTAGTTCATTATATTGTGACAGGGCTAATTAATAAATCAATGCCATGTTTGCAGCTGTGGTTTTCCTAAATAATTCTATGTGTCTATGCAGCAAGTTGTGTTTTCAGCTCCGTGCCATTGAAAGTCCCTGAGCTAAAGTACACCATTGGCACATGTTTGTTTTTTTTCAAACCAAATCACTACAGCCTCTTACAGACACTGATAGGAGAGAGGACAGAGGAAGAACTAAAGGAAATACCTCCTCTTGCTGGAGTGAAAAGGGTTAAGCCTATTACTGCAGACCAATCAGGACTGGGGGAGCACTGCAAACCTCCGCAGTAAGAGAGAGAGAGAGAGAGAGAGAGAGAAAGAGGGAACAAGGGAATGAGGGTGGAAGAGGAGAGCAGAGCAGGAGATACAGAGACACTAGGAGTGTGATGTTCACGCTCCTATCCAGACAGTTAGGCGGGAAGGAGCGTACCATAGTTGCTTAGATGAAGAGTGTTCACTCAACAGTTTATCTGGATGGAGAGGATTAAAAAAGGGACAAAAGGAAAAAGAAATAATCCCCCTATCAGCCGTGACAGGACCCCTCTTTGTTGACATCTGACTGATACTCCGTGACTCTTGCCGGTTCGTCCTTATTCCGTAGTTATTGTTAGATTTTTCTCAGAAGCGTCAATTTTTCTCGGAAATCAGCACTTCTTATCTTTGGCTGACCCGGACTGTTGGAGACCTGAGAGGAGATGGGACAGTGTGCTGAACGGACCCGCTCAGGAGCTTCTCTGTGTACTCTGCACGGTGAGATTTGCTGTGTTTTGCTTCCTCTAAACTCAGTGGTTTTATTTTAAGCCTTGCTCTAGATTCAGAGTTTATGCCGGCAAAGGAGGAAACTAACTAACTAGAATATCCTGAATATCCTTAATTTCTTATCTTTTTTTTTTCCTAGACTCTCCTAAAACATGCAGATACAATGACATCCACTTTATTTTACACTCTGCTGAAAGTGTTATTGATGTAATAGGATTTCTGTATGTTCAACACTAGTCACAATGTCTTAATGACACAATCACAAGCAGAGCTGTCAGACTGCTACTTGAGGACCTGTAGGGTTTATTGTCTCCATCATTCCGACAAGCTCCATCTCTTGCTCATTTTTGTGGGCTGAATTTCTCACTGGGGCAACCTTGAGGACTGACTATGAGGCTTCTTATATTACAAAGATCGCACACTGTGACACACGGGGATGCAACAATGTCTTTATGGCAAGTTTCCAGAGCGACTGCACTGCACTAAAGCTTTAAACAAGCAGGTCCTGTCATCAGAACTGTAGGAGCCTTTCATTACCACTGCGGCTGCCGAAATGAAATTGTAATTCCATCTTGACATTTCCTCTGCTATTATGCCACAAGAACAACACGGAAAACAAAATGTCACTTTCATTAGTTCATAATAAGGTTAACCATTCATTTTTCCCATTGTTTTTTTCTTTTTTTTTTACTATCCTCTTCAAGTGGTACTAAAGATGTAAAGTGTCAGTTGCTGCACAGGAACATGATAAGACATCAGAGGCTTGTTGCCATGTTAATTAGAATTTCCTTGTCGCCCTCTGCTGAGAATATGTTTATTTTCACTTATGCATCCCCCACACATCCCTGTCCTACTCCTTCTGCTTCCTCTCCCTCTGTTACCCACTACCCTCCTCTTTTTTCTCTCTTCAGGTCGTTGTAAACCCGGGCTGTGGGACTGAAGGTCATACAGATGTGATGCCGTGTGCGGCTCCTGGTTCTTAAAGTCTGATTATTTTCCGGGATCTTTTAGCAAATCCAAGAGTAATGTGCTCTGTGATTTGATCAAATGACTTCCGCCACCTCAAGAAAAATGACCTTCTGATAAACTGCTGAATAAAGCCCCCTCCCACCGCAGCCGCAAATGCCGTGGTGATTGGACACAAACGCACTGGTGACATCAGTGATCTTGAGTTCAACATGTCGACGGACAAACTGGAGCCCTGGGGTCAATTTACAAGTCAATGGCTGCTCGAGTCAGGTTCCCATAGACTGATGGGAAAGGTGGAGACTGAGGGCCAGTTCCATTAGTGTACCCTGGGGGAGACATGGGTCTGGACACTGCCTGGACGAACTGACCTGTCCCTGAAACATTTTGGACATTGCTCTGTTGTATGCTGGGGGATCTACATGGCTAACTGAGCGCTCTGCCTGCTGGAGTATACGCTAATGGATTTACAGAATTTGACATATTTACAGATCAGTGTACTATCTCCTCACTGTGGACACACACAAAAAGCAAAAAGTGCGGATTTGGATTGCATTATGAACAGTGCATTCCAGCACTTCAAAGGGTCTGCATTCTGTTTTTGTCTTGGTCGGCTGTGTCTCTCCTGCCTGGGATTACCAAGAGATTATAAACAGGAGGTTGCCTCTGACATCTTATCCCTGTTCCGATCATCTATCACTGCTCCAACATTCATCAGGCCAAGCGATCTGAGAAATAATCTTGAGACAACATTTGTGTATATTCTCTAACTTCCACTGAGTGCATGTGCCTAATTCCCCAGTGTTCGAGCCACTGAGGTGAAGCAGAAAAGCTGGCAGGTCCTTTTGCGGCTGTCAGCCTCTGTGGGAAGGACTAGCAGTGAAAGGAAAAGCCTCGCTGGGGGGCTCTGCTGGAGCAGAAACACTTTTCCACTGGTTATGTTTGGCTGGGATGTTCGTCTCTGTGGATATAACATGGACTCCATACTCTGACTACAAAGTGCTGAAATTCAGATAGTTCTGGAGGGAAGGGTAAATATCACAAAAGAAATCGGCATTTGTTCATGTTTGTGCATTTAGCTGATGTTTTATATAAAAAGTTGCTTACAATGCAGATTCCACATTACACAATTGGTACAACAAAGTATGTAGCATTCACTGCAGTCTCTTGATAGGATACAACATTTTTGTGGTCCATTCATTGGATTTTAAAGACAATCTCCAGGAGTCACAACATTACAATAGTCTTTCTGTAAATGGCCCTATAAAGTTCCTGGTAATTATTCTTAATAATTATTATGCAGTAAATATCATAAAGCTGCTTTTCAATTGAATATTGAATGACATTACAGGAAAAATGCCTGTGCTTTTACACTGCTGTTAACCTTTTTCTTGACATTTTTGAGAAGCAACAACACAGAACTGTCTTTTCCTTTTTCGTCTACATAAATTCTGTCTCTCTCTTCCCCACACCCAGGATAATGCATATCCTTCCCAGCCCAGAAAAAGAAGCCACCATGAGTAACGTCACGGTCACTGACAACACTGAGCCCATCAGCCGCACCATGAGTCCAGCCACCCCTAGCCCGTATTCCTACCCTGTTAGTTTCCAAGTCTCCCTGACAGGCTTCCTCATGCTGGAGATCCTGTTGGGCCTGAGTTCCAACCTCACTGTGCTCGCTCTCTACTGTATGAAATCAAACCTCATTAGTTCCGTCAGTAACATCGTCACTATGAACCTCCACGTGCTGGATGTGCTGGTTTGTGTGGGCTGCATCCCTCTCACTATTGTGGTTGTGCTGCTTTCCCTGGAAGGAGACACTGCCCTCATCTGCTGCTTTCATGAAGCCTGTGTCTCTTTTGCCAGTGTTGCCACTGCAGCTAATGTGCTCGCAATAACTCTAGATCGCTACGACATCTCAGTGAAACCCGCCAACAGAGTGCTGACCATGGGCCGTGCTGTGGCACTGCTGGCTACCATTTGGGTTCTATCCTTTGCCAGCTTCCTTGTACCCTTTATCGAGGTTGGATTCTTCGCTCAAGGCCACGCTGAGTTGAACCAAACGGTGGCAGAAAATATGGTGAACACCAATCAGTATAACACTGAATTCGGCCTCTACTATCACTTACTTGCCCAGATCCCTATTTTCTTCTTTACGGCTGTCGTGATGCTCATCACCTACTCAAAGATCCTGCAGGCGCTCAACATCCGCATTGGCACACGTTTCCACGCCTCACAGAAGAAGAAGGCTCGCAGGAAAAAGCGTCCATCCATGACAGCCATGACAACACAGCAGGAGGCCACAGACGGATCGCAGAGCAGCGGTAGTCGGAATCCCACTCTGGGAATGCGTACCTCTGTCTCTGTCATAATTGCCTTGCGAAGGGCTGTTAAGCGTCACAGAGAGAGGCGGGAGCGCCAGAAGAGAGTTTTCAAGATGTCTCTCCTGATTGTGTCTACCTTTTTACTGTGCTGGACGCCCATCACTGTTCTCAACACAGTTATCCTCAGTATAGGCCCCAGCAGCCTAATGGTCAAGTTGAGACTGGGCTTCCTTGTAATGGCTTATGGGACCACTATCTTTCACCCTTTACTCTATGCCTTCACAAGGCAGAAATTCCAGAAAGTTTTAAGAAGTAAGATGAAGAAGCGTGTGGTGTCAATCATTGAGGCAGACCCCACCCCTAATAATGCTATCATACACAATTCCTGGATCGACCCAAAGAGGAACAAAAAGGTGACATTTGAGGACAAAGACGCCCAACTGAAACGCCTCTCTACTGAGAACGTGGAGTGAAAAAAAATCACTATTGTCTGTGGGATATTTCAGTGTCATTAAAGTGGGGTTATTTGATGTACTTTATAAGCAGACTGTTTGGAAAATGAACAGGGAGCTCAGCCTTTGGACTATCAGTGAGGAATTCTAGAGACCATAAGCAGCTACTCAGACTGGGGCAACAGAAGGAATATAATGATGGATCTCAAAGATTTCATAGCGGTTTGAGAAGGAAAACCAAATGTACAGTGTCTGTTTGACATCAGTTGTCGATATTACAGGTTGCTCTGCATTACTGCATGTGTATTGGCACTGCTGGTCAACCATGATTAAGATTCTAGTAAATGCTAGCCCCAACAAGCAAACTTCTACATAGTGAAAAGGAAAGCACAAACACTTGTTTTCACCTTTTGAACCTTGCCATAATATTTGCAAACATTCAATTTGACCAATCTCCTTATGATATAATCTAATCAGTCATATAGTATATTGGGCAGCTAACCAGCACTTTGAAATATTGAAGAAGACCAAGTACATATTCCACTATGATGAGCTCAAACCGCAGTGAAATGTTTAAGGTTTTAGAAGGGAAATATTTGCTCTTTTGTTACCTCCCTCTGATCTTAGATGAGGTCCTTGGTTTGAATTTGTCCCTGACTCTGTTATGACAAGAAACCAGAAACACTGACAGACTGTGGATTGGAAGTAATTCATTGGCCATTTATCAGTACTTGATATAAGCCCACTTAGGGAATTATCTCTTTGTAAGAATCAGTCTACAAAGGCAAAGCAGCTAAACTGACATGGTGAAAAAGGGAAAATGTTAATCCAAAGCAGCGATGTAAAATAATATGTGCAATAGCATCAACAAAGATATAAGGATGGTAAGTTATTACTATTTATTGAAAATAAAAGTAGATTTCATAGTTAAATCATGTATTGTATGTAGATATTGCATGGCCTTTTGTAACAGTAGCAGCAAAACAGTATATTATATACAAACAAATACATGTACAGGATAGGGTAAATATGGTATATAATTAGAGAGACGTAGAAGTTATGTAACATATATTTACAATCATTTTTGTGTTCACTCATCAATAGCAGCAAATGTTTTTGTAACCATAACCATCCCCCCCAGAGTAAAATATTTGTGAATCCGTAACAGCTGCGAGATTACTACCATTCATCACAGAGCTACTTTCTTTGACATCACACCCCACAGTCCCCGGCGACTGCTGACCTTATTGCCTGGGAGCTCTCAAAAGGAAGGCCTTCGCACTAAAAAGAGATGAAAAGAATGAAGACAACACGAAGACAGGTCATAGTCTGAAAGACAGGATTAGAAAAAAAAGTAGCTGTTGTGTTGCTCCAGTTAAAAGGCTCAGGAAGTACTGTTCCAGTGCTCAACGGTCTCACGCACATTCCGCAGACACAAAACAGCATCATGGGTCTCATCATCCTTCATGACATGAGCCAGATGTAATCAAAGCCTTGCCTGCTTTTTCTTTGGTCGACTCTCAGACTGTAGTGAGAAAAAGCTGCCGTCTCCTGATTTTGATATCGTAATGAATCAGCCAGCAGTGTGGTTGAACAGAGACTGTGACAGTGAGAGCATCATGAACACAATGAATAACAGTAAAGATTTGGCTGGTTTGGAAAAAATGAAATAGCAGCAAAACGTTTCAATAATGTGGTATTGAATGAGAAAAAAAAGACATGATTAATGCCATTTAATATAAAAAATGTTCTAACAACTGCTCTTCAAATAATTACATCAATAGCTGTAAGAAATACATCACCTATGCTTGAAATATTCGGTTTACAACACACCTTTTCAGGTAATAAATTCTACTTTATTACCTGTGTGTGAGTATCGTGGAGTATACTGTCCATCATTTGCTAAGGAAGAAGACATAACATTTTGTTTCCCAATTGGCTGTGGGTAGTACTTGTCAAGTTTGCCCTAAATAAGACAGCATCATTTATTCATGGGCTGCTAAAGAATGTCAGAAGTAAGACTGCGAGCGAGAGTCATCTTATTAGATTCAGTCTGCGCTTGAACACCAAATCTAGAAGCAACCCGATGATGTCCATTAGCATACAAAGCCATGCTCAGCCAGCATACGGCTGCTTTTCATTTAAATCTGCAGGTCAAGGATCACATTCTGTCCAAAGAAGGGATATAGAGACTGCATTCCCATGCATAAATAAAGGTGCGCACAAAGTCACTGGCAAACCTCCTCCATGCTTTATCTGGGTAATAAACTTATCACTAATACTCCTTTGCGGCCACAACTGGAGAACCCTTTAAATCCAGAGAGCACAAGGTTGTCGGCTACCAGGGTGATTACACGACTTCAATCAAATGCTTCTTTTGCTGTCGGCGTCTGCTTTGGAGCACAGCGGAGAGATCTGATATAGGAATATTGATGCAAGGTTCTTTATGGGCTTGCTTTAAACAGGGAGTGAGGATGTCATGGTGCCTTGAGGGTACAGCTGATTGAGAGTGGAGATGGGATGTGAGCCAGCAACAGATTAGCTGACAGGGTAAAGAAATTGGCCCATAAGATGATACATTTAAGCAGATGATGTATCCACTATGAGTACCTCACTGAATTAAATCTAGAATGAAAACTTCATTTGTGGAGTATCAACAAAGTAAATGTACTGTATAGCGTCATTTCTATTTAGCTTTCTAGCCCTCAAATAAAAAAAGAAAAACAGGTTTTGAATCTCTGCTCACATCTTGGGCTCTATTCCAAACTGCATCATGGCATCTAATACAATCTTTTCTATTGAACACTTTCCAAGATTAAGTCTGAAAGTTGAATGCAATTTTATGTTTACATGACTTTACTGTTAGAGTCTTCGTTAAATGAAAAGGTCCAAACGATGTGGTCAAAAATGTAAAAGGTTAAAATGTCTTTCAAGTATGACTGACCTGTGGCTGTTATGACTGATTGATGTTAGTCTCTAATGTTGTTTTCTGTCCAAAAAATAGTTTTGTGAGATATTATTGTGCTTGTTTTTTTGTTTTTTTTAACAAAAGGTGGAATTATCATTAAACAATTTACTACTGAATTGTCGAAGTGCCCACAAATCAGTGTCGTCGTTCAGTTTATAGCCTCGTTATGAGCACAATCTTTAATAGGTGTGTGCTGCCGTGTTAAGATTGAATTTAGATTCTGGCACGGTTGCGCTTTTTTCAGACATGTGGAAATACTGTAATGGGCTTCATCATTCCAAAGTGAATGCCGCCCAGATTTACTGTAGGTGTTGTTTATGTCATTGTTCTCTTTGGCTTTATTCAAACATACCCGTGAATGTGATAAGAGAGCGACGGTGAGGGTGCCATGTTTGTAATTTGCACAAGGTTACTGGGTTTATCAAGTAAAGTTGAATTTCAGTCCTAAAGCCTGCGTTTTCTTACAACGTTATGCTCAAGTTCCCTTTAGATTGTTTTCTAAAATGCATCAGCTTAACGTTGTGTGTCAAAACAGAACTCTTAATGGCTGATTTCTTAGACTGTTTTGTACTTATGAATACATGAATGATTATCATATCAAGAAAAACACAGCTTGTCCTTTAACATGGGGACACTGTTCTCACTGCTGTCTTTGTGCTATAAGCAATGTGTGTATTAAGACTCATCCATGTAAGTGCATATCCATTTATGTAAAGCAGTTCAAATTTATGTAAACTGAAAGAGATTATATTTATGGATCTGACCTTGTTTTTAATTTATTGTTAAAAAAGGAGGAAAAAAAGCACCAGTTTGGTCTCAATGCGACATGAGCCATTAACAAATTTAGTTACACTTAGATTTAAGGGAAGGACCAAATCTTCCAAAAGATTCTTTCTCACCTTCAGCTGTCCTATAAAGTTTGTTAAGATGAATATCATATCTTCCTGAGTTAGAAAGACTTCCAAATAGAGAGTGATGCAAAGTTCCGATTGGCCTGCTATATCTGCAATAGATCAAATATTTATAAGGTCTTTGAAAAGCTGCAGCCGAGGTTTTTGCTTTCAATTTGGGCTGTGTGTTTTTTACTGGCTGATATTTTGTAGAAGAAATACAACACAAGGTTGTGTGTTACCTATTCAAACAGGGCAATCGTAAGACCAATAAGAGAGAAGGATGATTCTCTGGAGTCACAACAGTTAAATAGGTTACTGCAGTTTCCCGGAAAAGTGCCAGCATGTGTAACCTTCAGCAGTCAACGATAAGAGCGGTGGTTGTCGACCAGTGAAAATAAATTATTCTAATTAGCAATCTAACATAAAGTTAAAACACCATGTAAACAAAAGACCTTATAGTCTTCATGGGGTCACAAGTATTCAGACGTTTTTCAGACTTCTCTATGAGTAAATAAACCATGACAGTTGTTGTCTCTTTACTTAATATCTCCAGTTAAGTCATCATAAAATTAAACAAACTGGTTTTGATAGCAAACACATCACACATGCCTTTGGAAATATCTGTACGTTAAATCTGGGTAATCCAACTGATTGATGTGAGAATACTTGAGACATTAGCAACAGACATAGCTTTAAATAACATGTAGAGGCTTGTGCTTTCCAGACTGTGTCTGCCTTCAAAAGTTCAACCTTATAATGTGAACATGCTGTTGGCTTGTTCTTAAATGTTGGAAAACTCACGTTTTCCTTTAAAAGCTTTATTTATCTTAAATAGAAAAATCTGTAGTTGACATTAGAAAAATCAACCCTCGGCTGCAATTTTGACTAATGTTATTCCCAAGAAAAAATGTCAATTGAATCTCAAATTCAGAGAAAAAAAAGATAACCAGAAGGAAAATAGACACAAAAGAGAAAAAATAAATAAGTAAAAATTAATATAATATAAATAATAAAATTTCCATGGTCCATGTTATCCCATGTTATCTTTCTTTCTTTCATGAATCTATCTACCTAGTCTATCTTGGTAGATGGACATATTATCATGACAATCATGGCAATTCCAACCTGAGATGACCTACAGAGAAAAACACAGGTCAAAACACTACCAAAGTCCCCATCAAAGACTTATCAAGGCTTCATTGCGGGATTCATTAAAGTCACTTGACCCAGGTGGCCCATTTATATCTCCTTTGCCCTTCTTCCCCGTAAACCACATCAAGGCTGCTATTTGCCTGGGTCCCTATCACGTACATTATGTCCCTCTATCTCTTGCTCAATGGCTGTCTTTCTCTGACAGCCGAGCCCAATTCAGGTGCCATCTCTTCGGGGCCCCTCTCTATCTAGCCACAGACACAGAATAAAAGCCTGGGAAATCGCATTACTCTGTCTGTATGGAGCCTCTATTGCATTAGGTCAACGGACACTCAACTGTAATTCTGCCACTGTAGAGAAAAAGAAAGTGAATCGAGCACACCCACCTGCACGGCCTGACAAATTGTTGCTCGTGGTCCTTTTCTGAAATGTACTCCCACCAAGCAACATTTTGAAGAGATTAAAGCATGTTTTATGAATCTTACATATGCACAATTTATGTGTGTGTATGTATATAATCTACATATAAATAAAAGGCATTGGCAGTGACAAAAACCAGGAATAAAGGGCAGACACTAACAATGCATGACCCCCACCTGAAAGTGACCTTAATGGCATTATTGTGTGGGGCCTCCAGGGTAAAACATTGTCGGGTTTCAGACCGATAGCATCTACTGTGGTGTTTGGCATTATTAGTAGAGAACCGACACTTAATGACACAAGGGTACTCATGTGTTATGCATTTTTTTATACATAAATAAATCAAGTGATGTAAATGCAGATGAGAAGCTGCCATGAAAAAAAAATGTAATGATATTTATCTTCATACTGTGAAATCTTTGACATCCTCATGGACCTGTGACTCAGACACCATATTATTGTTACACAAATCCAAAACTGGGAAAGGCTAAAAAACAAAAAATGAAGAAAGGCGGAAGTTGTGCGTTAAGACATCCCCATACCCAGTTCGAGAGTGTTCCATTCAGCCTGTGCGAAACTGCCCAGCATTTTCTCTGCACTGTGTTTGTGAGTTTGTGATCCAGCACGTGCAGCCATGGGTTACAATGTGTGAACATCACTGTGGGTCTGTCCAGTTTGTTTTTATCAGGCTGTGACAGAATGTCAGCCCCTGTGTGTGTGACCGTGGACAGCAGAGACAAAATTGCTGCCCTCCAGTTCTCCTCACAGTTATGACTGCTGCTTGGTGATTATACCGCATCTCTTCTCTCTCCGCAAAAAGCCCTGAATAGGGCTGACATAATAGCCAGCAAACATAACTTGCGATTTGAATCTGACATAACATGGTAAAGAGTTATCTTCAAACGAGGCATTTTACATTTCGCAGACGTTTCAAACCATTCCAAAGCTTTCATGTCACAAGACATTTGCAAAGTAGTAGGAAATCGTTGAGGGTAAGTGGTTGTCTGCTCTGATTCCTATAATCTAACATTACCTGGATTTTAGACTCTTGCTTCCACAGTTTTTCTATTTTCCTTCATATTCTTGATCTAGCATAATTATGGAAAAGGCCAGGTTTGAGTGGTTGTCTCAAAAAAACAGCTAACAATCATTATTCATTAACAATATATTCTTGATGAATATTTGCTTGTGAGCTAGTTATTCATGGAGCTAATAATAACATTATTGCTGTTAGAAAATGTGTGAGTGTGAGCAAATATTGTAGTTTAGCTCTTACCATGAGGTTTTTCTTAACCGTAACCATTTATGTTAACATCTAAATCAAACCACTGAGGGGGAAATGTTTTCATAGATTTTTTGTGTAACTTCTTCAAACAGACCCTAATGTGAAAAAAAAACAACTGTTGTTGAATGTGGACTGGCAGGAAACTCTCATGAGCCACTTCCTCTTCCTGACGTGTGCTCCGATGCTGAACAGTGATACGATTGTATTTCCCTCCTGTGTCCTGCAGAGGCAGTAGTTTAGACCATGTCATATTTGAGGATGTGAAAAAGTAACTGATTTGGTTGATTGAATTGGTGAATTTTTAGCGATCATATTATGTTTGACAAAGATCTCATGAGAAAATAAAGCTATTTCACGAGTTTGCTGATTTGCCCGTGTCAAAAGTAGAGGTTGTTGCTTTTGTTCTGAGTCTATGCTTTCCTAGCAAGAAAGATGGGGACAAGCTTTTTGTCAAAGCTGGCTGGAAACTGAGATGGAGACCAGTCAGCTATTGTTTGCTGACTTAACTGCTCGGAGCGGCAGCCACTTGGATCCAAATGAGGTCAAGCTAAAGCTAAAATGGAACTAAATCTTCAGGCAGCAGCCAGTGGTTTTGAGACAGTGTGTCTTAACATCCACTTCACTTCCTCATTGGCTCCAACACAGCATAAGATTATTCAGCCAAAGCTTGCTCTCAATATTGCTGACTACATATAGGATTAGGGGTTTGGGCAAATGTATTCATATGCATGAATATATATCTAAATGACCTGAAACTTGATTAAGTACGTGCCTTTCAGCTACGACAAAGAATTCAAAGAGCAATTTATCAGATGTGTCATACTGTTATCTCCCGGAGCATACATTTTCTCCTAAGAAGTTCTTTAAGATCTATGTTAATATGATTGCATATAACGTCTGCACACCATGAGCTGCACAGTCTAGTTTGAAATGCGCTATAACCCCCGGTGGGCACCTATCCACCTCAACAATTGCTGTGTGTTCTTGGATGCTCTTTGACCATATGTCAGGTCAAATGGGTCCGGGTACTCTCCTTCAATCTTTCTGATTAAAAAGGCATATCTCTCTCTGCAGAACTGTAATTTTTTATCATTATATATAACAACCTGAGACGACAGGGCATGAAAATCCGTTCAGCATTACTCCAATCAGCTCGTCACAGTCGAGTCGTTGAGATTGCTCCCCCTTACCTTCCTCATTGATGTTTGATTTGACCACGAGGAGTAGTCCCTCACATCTAGATCTGTGTGATTGTGGCCATCGCAGCCGCTGAATGATTGGCTGATTGAATAATTATATTAACAAACAGGTGCACAGGTGGTCCTTGTTGAAAGTCAATATGCTCGCCTCTCTATGGAGACACAGAGAGCAGCCTCCAAAATGATGAGGAGAGGAGCTGGAGCACAGCTCATTCATTTCTGCCACAGTCATTTAGCGGCTCTCAAAAGGCTGTGGAAGGGTGCAGCTGTAAACATTTTGCTGCTGAACACTCTTGAGACGTGCAGTCAAAGAGGATAGCAGCTATCAGGCTCTTTCACAGAGGAAGCCCATGTGAATACACTTTGCAGGTTGAATGCATTGAAGAGGGAAAAATACACAGACTATTCCCCAATGAAGAGTGTGGCTGAATAACAAAAAAATGTCTAGAGATGGATAGAAACCTTCAGATTCTGTTGGGTCTTTTGCACAAATTGAATGTTAATGAATGGGAAAATAGCTGTTTCATGCTTACCAAAAAGGAGGGTTTTGTTTCACTATTTTTATTATATTGATGTTGAACCAAGCTTCCCACAGTTGAACATCTCAACAGAGAACATTTGATTTGACTTCACCCTGCTTGTCCTCCTATAAAGGTAACATTGTGTAACATTGCCCTCTTGTGGAGCTTTGAAGGCTTTTTTATACACAAAATGGAAGGTTAGAACGGTCAACATTTAATGTCAGAAAAACAAAGTCTTGTTAATAATTCTATTGCTAGCTTGATCTCTAAAATGTGTAAACTCTAGAATGCTTAAATATTTTTCCCGTATTCACTTGAACAAAATGTTGTGTTTTTTTGTTTTTGTTAATTACAAGTGTGAATTAACACACAGAACAAAACGGTAAGCCAAACTTTCACAGGATGCACCAGTTTTTAAGCAAACCAGGCATCATCTGTGTTGATAAAAACAAACCAAAAAGTAAACTTAAAGATGTATGGGGGGGGGGGTGTTATGCAGCAGAAATCGATCTTAAAAGCACCTCAGAATTAGTCTAAAATAAATAGTCAGCCTCAAACAGTAAGACTGGATGAAAATCTTTCCAAACTGAGAGAGAGAAATAGAAAAAGAAACAAACTTATTTCCCATTCAGGTAGAGACTGAATCATCCACACTGGGGTATTTTTGTAACGTGACATGTAATGTGAGACGGTATCGGTCAACACTCACAAACTCAAGTGTACACACACACACACACATGTTGGGGGGAGAAGTTGCCAATGTAAAGATATATTTAGCTGTCTTTCCGTACGGGCAGAGCCCTCAAAAGACAAAACTTTCTGATGGTTTTAAAGTTTCGATTTTCATAGACCATGAAAAGGCCTGAGTAATGAGCTGGACCAGCAGAGTTTTATTTTAGGGTTCTGGGTCCTCAGCAGCTGTCGTGACTCTGCATGAACACAAGTGTGATTGTGGGTGTGTGGACTGTTCAGTGCTTTTCAACGTCTGACTTTGTCTGGTAAGACTACAACTCTATTCATTACTATATGGTGTAGATTTCAGGTCTTCAGCTGAATTTTGAACTATTCCTGCAATGTCGAGCAGTGAGAAAAGAAGGGGGTTAAAAGCCTGAATAGGAAAAGTAAAATCTTATGCGGACTTTGTTTGTTGTGTGACCAAAGGAACCTTCATCTGTTTCTGCTAACAAAATTGAAATGATAGGTTTGCATATGCTCAACATAAATGTAAAGTCAGTGTGTTTAACTGCCTGAATGGTAGGAAAAATGTAGTAGTCCATGTTTTCTGAAGTTTAAAGCTTCATTTCATATTAGGTTAATATTTTTTTGCTTGTCAGTTTCACACAAATCAATGAGCCGCTTCATTTTGACAGAAAGACGCAATGACTCTCCAGTGGACCGCCGTTGCCTTTTTTCTGTATGCAGAGATAGTGGTCAACCTCATCCTGTGCATTCCCTTCATATCAGCACGGAGGTACAGTAACACAGATTTCAGTGACAGCCCAGAACATCAACGGTAATATGCAACAAACCTGATATTAAATGAATATGGTCCAGTTCAAAATGTTCAGTGCTGCTCAGAAAGAGGCAGTTCACACAAATGAACAGCAGAGTGCAGAGTGAATCTCTTTTTTTTGTTTTTTATGTCCTATGGCAGCAGTTCCCTAAATGTCATTCATTTCAGGTGGCGTTCGGTTTTTAGCTGGAGAATTTGGAGCTGGTTGTCCCCCTACTGGAATAAATGCTTCTTTGCAATAATCATGGCTCTCATTATCCTTTTCATTGGTAAGCAACCTATTGAGATTCAGACATTTTTTAGCTTGGGAGACAACTCACTACCAAGTATGAGTTCACATGTGGTTCATCCAGCCGTTTTTCTGTCCTTCTCCCAAACTTCAGATGCTGTCCGGGAGGTGCAGAAGTACTCGGGTCCTGAGCCCATGCAAGATGCCAAAGTGAACCCCACCTTATATGATCACGTCTACATGAAGCTGTTCAGGGCCCAGAGGAACCTTTACATATGTGGCTTCTCTCTTTTTCTGTGGCTGTTAGTATCTTTCATGCTTTATTAGCTCAGAATGGAAGGGAAACATTTTTTTTACTTGTTTTGTGTCCTATACCTTTCCTTGCCTTGTCATTAGATCTGTTTCCATCTGATTCATGTGCTTTGCTCTCCTGCAGTATCATGCGTCGGGTTGTGACATTGCTCAACCAGGTTGCCATCTCCATGGAGAACAGTGAGGGCCTTCAGGCGCAGATGGATAATGCCTTTAAAGCAGCCAAGAAGCACCAGGAAGACAACCAGACGCTCAAAGCAGTGAGCAGACAACCAATAATACGAACTAACTCAGTGTTAGTGTTTTTGGTCTGTGCACTCTAATTCAAAGTCCAGTCACAGTGGCTTCTGTTTTGTCGGCTTTCTCAGTTTTTCCGTTAAAATAATCCGGTTTACTGCCTTAATAAGGAAAATTCTTTCTTCTCAGGCACTTTTAGAGGAGGAAAAGTCCATGTCAGCATCAAAACAACAACTGAAACTGGAGGCTGAAAAGCTGACAGGCCAACTGAGGGCTGCTGAGGAAGGTGAGAAATCATCCCTCCATTCTGGCACAATGATCACATGACGTAGAATGTGGCCCAGCAATTGTGAATGGGAGCTGCAGTATTTATAAGGGCTCAAACTAAATGTGATTTGATTCCAAAGAGTATTTTATTGGACTAACATTTGTCTGTACAGCTGTGCGAAAGTCTAATGCGGAAGTTGAAGCGATGAGGAGGCAGGCCAAAGGTCTGGCACAAGAGTATGACAGACTGTTAACGGAACATCATCAGCTTCAGGTAAACACATCACAAACTCAAAAAAACAAAACAAAAAGAAAACACATACAAGACTCTAACTCTTTTAAATTCTGTGCCTGATCCGCAGAATCTTCAGACTGCTGAGGACAAAAAGGATCAGTAATGGCCGGGACACAGTGATAGCTGTTTTTATTTCCTTCCCTCTCATACTTGCATGAGAAAAATATACCTGAAATGCATCTTTCACACTGAAATGCACGCTGGACACATATGCTTCTTTTCAAGTTTGAGATATGGTAGTGCAATGTGAATATTGGAGATATTGGACAAACAATGCAGTTTAAAAAATGATGTTATGAATAAATTATGTTTTTTTGATGTTGTAATAATATTTCATTATTGCTGAGATTTACAAAGGCTGACTTTTATTAAATGAAAGATTTATATTACCACTTAATTTAAAAAAATCCACATACTTTCCAACAAGCCAAAATGTCTGCTATGATAACTGTATACACGCTCTCCATGTATTTACCATAAAGGTACATTTTTATGCCTGAGTGTAGTGGATCAGTGAATAAATCTGTATTTTTAATATAGTAATTACTTAAAAGCTAATTACTTAATGCGAAAATTATCATCGTTTGCTACTTAGTAACCAGATGTCTGTTATCCATTGTGAATTTGCAATGTTCAATTTATTTTATAAAAATAGGGTAAAAAATTATCAGTATAAATCTTCCTATTTTGGTAGATTTTTTTTCAACAAGTGGACTTTTAAGCCGGCAAAGATAAACCATTCATCTGAGAAACCATTCGACTGAGAAATAAACAAAACCACAGGTAAACTATATCAATGAATTCTGTCAGTGAAGAGGCTGTAAACAAACTGTATACAAAATGTTATGTGGCAAAATGCTGAGTGTGTCCATTAAATAACAGGTATCTGAGGTAGTTTTTGGAACAAGCCTCAGATTCAGGTCTTTTTTTAGGATAAATACAACCTGAATCAGGTCGATGAACGAAACATTGACATAACATTCTGCTACCTCACAATGGCGCTTTCAGCATATGGTAAACTAAATCAAGTTTAATCATAAACACAAAGTCTAAAAGTACAGCACAACCACTTTTCTTTTTTCTTTCTTTCTTTTTTTTTTGTTTACAAAATTTTTCCATTCATGAAAAGCACAAACACAGAGATACCACACTTTTGTTTAATGAAATAATTTGCTTAAGATAGTATATTTCTGCACAAATCTCTCGCAAATATACTGTACGCCCTATGAAAAATGTCCACAATGTACCCCAATGCACGTGAGTTGTTTCACAAGTTGAGTCACTGGAGAGGAGGATAAAATGTTGCTCATAAGTGAGTTTCTCTGTCAGGATTGCAGTCTGGGCTCAGTATAAGCTGCTCACAGTGTATGGAGCTGTTGTCTTCTTTCCTCAGTGACTCCAACTCAGCATTCCCATTGGTCAGAACACTTTTCTCCTCCCTTTTAATGTGTTTTCGGAGTAGAGCAAAGCCCCAAATGCAAAATAAGAAAGAAACTGTCCTCAGGCCCAGCGTAAGGCCCAGGTATACCGTCCTGTAAAAAGAAGAAGAAATGGTGTTACAGTACATATGGATTTGTATGCATTAGTACCTGCTTCTATTAAAATGGACTTTTTTTATCCATAATAGTATATTACTGAAACTTTAATGGCAAAGACAACTAAGGGAATAGCGGACAGAGAACTGGATCCTGCCCTCCTGTTGCCAACACCCTTTAAGACATGCTCAGAACACAAAAAAGGTGGATTATTGCTATGAAGAAATGTTATTTGAGTACCTGTAAGCTGACGTGTCATATATTCTGCAAGCACCTCTTCCGCCACATGTCTTGTAACTCCATTTGAGGCAGGTTGTATCAATTATGGCTCCAAAGTATATAGGTGCAGGTATTCCAGCTGTTGTGCAACATGGAAACAAACTGGTCAGTTCAAATAAAACTAAAGTTAAAAAGGACTTCCAGGAAAGAAAAAAAGAAAATAAATAAATAATTCTGATGATTTTGACACAAAGTTTGTCAATCGCATATCTAATATTCACACCATGAATAATCAGCAATGTGCAGAACATTAAAAAAAGTGGTTCTCACCCAGGGTACGAGTGGCCAATGTGTAGATTCCAAGCGCCAAGGATTTCAACTCGGGCTTAATGCACCTTCAAAATATGAGTAGGACTCAGCTTTGAAACCAGCAAAAAACAAGGCAAAGCAATTCTACCAAGAGATAAAACAGAACAAAACACTGTGCCTGTATTGATAATTGTTAAGCTGATTTTAAGTGCAAAGGTACTTAATAATCCTTTAATTTTAGCTTTTTACTCGTACATGACCCAGAATTTCCCAGTAGAATCTCCAGTAGAGCTGTTGACAGACCTGACAAGCAGCATGAAGCCGGGTGTTCCCCCAAGAGAGATGATGAAGGAACTCAGGACAGACAGAGCCAAGAAGTAAGGGAAGACCATGTCACAGCTGTCTCTGCGTGGACACTGACCTGGAGTAGCTGTCAGGTTGCCTGGTTGGTCACTACCCACTGCGACACACCTGCAACTGTCAAACACCTGAGAAAAAAGAAAAGAAAAGCCAGGCTTCGTTTGTTAGCGTTCAGTGATATTAGGCTAAGCCAGAGTGATGCACGAATCTGACCGTGTTCCTTCCAGAGCCAGAGGATGAGGTGCATCCAGCTAAACAAGGGGACACGTAGGTGATCCCATTATCTCCACACACTGGATCCCACTCTCTCCTTGAGCACATGCAGCCCACATTACAGTCAGCGAGGAGAGAACGCTCCTGGTAAGACAAGCCTCCCACTCTGCATGTGGCAACATAGAAAAAGGCCTATATTATTAACAGCCAATATAAAAAATAGATCTATTGAGAAAAAAAACTATAATGTGCATTGGGAATTGTAATAGATGGAACAAGACTAACAGGAAAGCTATGGAGTCTGTCTAGGCTTTAATCTTTAATTGAAGGTATTGCATTAAAGTGGAACATGGGAACCTTGAGAAGACAGATTCAATTTGAAGATTTGGTCAAGAACAGCTTTTCAGACTTTCTGCCCCTGTCTCTATTGTGCTTGGGAAATTCAGCACCTGACTGTTAAACCGAGGTCCTCAATAGCCCCTCCTACTGCTTATTTTCACTCACTCAATATTTGGAGACTCAGGGACATATTCTCTGTAAACTGTCCTTGTCCTGCATCACTATCAAAGCCAAGTAAGTCTTTAGAAATATCTAAATGACCAAGTTCTATTTTAAATCAAAGCATATGTTTGTTTTTTGCTGGTAACATACCCGCTGTATGAAACTGTGATGCCTGCCACCTTGGAGTTCTCACAGCCCATGGCTAAGAAAAGAAGTGACAGGAAGTAGCCCAGCAGGGAAGTCCCAAAGGCAAATTTAGCTGCTCCCATGACACCCAGCTTGTACTTCTTCATGACAACCCCTCCAGAGAACATCCCAAGGGCCACAGCCGGGATGTTAATTACACCTAGCCAAACCACAGAGTAGAACTCACTCTTTAAGTGATAGAAAGTCAGAAAACAGCTTAAACAGGCCGGCATCAAACCACAGGAGGCAGCAGCACTCCCCCAAAAAGAATCAAAGTCAGAGCACTCATTCATATCAAAGTAATCTCATTAATATTTAATCTACAGTGAAGTGAAGACGTGTTGCAAAAGATCAAAATTACTTCTGGCGGTCCAGAGGATGTGGGATGTGCTACTCATCATCCAACATCCTCTTCACAGACTTGGTAGCTTTATGAAGAGAACGATGGTGTTGCTCTGCTTCCAGCTGCACAAATTTGGTTGTTTCAATGGATATTTAATAAATGCATATCTGTTCAGATGGTCAAAAAATATAACAGGAAAAAAACTTTAATAAGTCTAATTACACTCTTATCTTCAGAAATATAAAATAAACAAATATGCATCAAACAACTGCTTACCCATGAGAAAATTAGCTTTCGATGCTGACTGGCCGTAGTGTTGCTCAATAAATTTGGGTTTGTAGGTGACCATACCAATGAGAGAGTTAAACTGAATGATTGTCACACACAGGTAGATGACGTACACAGGATTTCCAAGGAGACTCTTCAGTGTAGGTACAAATTCTGTGTGAGAAAGGTGATATGAATGAATCCCACTTTTTTTTTTAAAGATCTTGAGTTATTAGACTAATACCGGATAATGATAATCACTCTTACCTTCTTAAATAAAGTGGGGCCAGATGAATACAATAACATTTTTGTACCCATTTTTTTTAGCAATTTGAATCAAACTTTAAAAAAATATATTTATCTGCCTATAAGCCTGAATACACTGATGTCCATTTGGGAAATGGCTGTTTCGTAACATTTATGTGTTACTGTCCAACTGTTTTCAGAAGTTTTTGACTCCTTGCAATGATTTCCACCTATGCAATGCAATGGTGTCAATTTTTACACACGTCCCTTTTTCAAGGCCTTTCAGAGAAAATGATTTATTAAAACATTTTACATATTTGATCTTTCTTTTAAAATGTATTGGTGCTTGCAATGATAAGTAAATCTGTACATTCCATTTATGTTTACTTTTGCAGAGTTTGCCAAATTATTTTGAAATAGATTGTCCTACCCCTCTAAAATGCTACATGTGAAGGATTTGAAGACCGATTTAAATTGGTTTGCAAGACTCTCAAAAACAACATAAAGATAACAGAAATAGAAAAATATTGCATCCTACAATATGACACAGATTACAATACAAATCTTAAAAACATTTTTTTAGCATAACTTATAGTGACTCATCATTACCGGTAGCCATCAGATGTAAATTAGCAGGTTCTTCCTGTCTGATCTTGTGATGCATGCTAGGAGAATCTTTGATGAACCTGGTCTGCTCTGGAGTGCAGCTGCTATCATGTTTATCCACAGGCAGTGGCAGTGATTTTGGCAGGAACCAGAAAGGAACTGCAGAAACGAGGGTGATAGCGCCAGCAATGAGGTAGCCTAACCACCATGCACCCACCCAGCGGGCATCAGCAGGGGTAATGGTGACCGTTTCTGTGAAGAAGTAAGCACATATTTAGTAATGTTGGAAGATTTCCACAACTGACAACAGTCACATGGTTGTTTATTCATGATAGTCATAAAAGCATTTTTTAGGGTATGGTAAATCTATGAAAAATCATCTGTGTCCAAAACTAATGATGGTTCGAGTGATGGATGCAACACAACAAATCTAAACCCTTTGCTATAGAGAGCTTGCTTGACATAAAGTTTGTACTGTATTTATATTTTATGATTTGATCTGCCCTGGTTCATTAACCTTAGTAATTGGAGGAAGAACAGCACCATCTTTTTTTCTGCATCACAGATCGTGAGTTCAAGCTTCAGAGATATGTGTCTGTAAGTACTTTGTGGGTGGGGTTAGTATAATGGTGAGTGTCCCTACCTGTTACATGCAAGACTTGGTGCTGATTCCCCGTCAGGGAGGTACACAGATATGTATATTCTACTTTGTAAGTCGCTTTGACTAAAAGTGTCTAGCTATACACATACATGTATTTTATGCAGCCTTAGCACAGCCATGTTCGGCACATATTTACAACTGTCCACACATAGGTGACTGTGTCAAATTGTTGGTAAAAACGCAAATCTATAGAGTACAATCTGTTATTTTATCATGTGATTATCATCTATCTGATGAGCAAACAACAGTTTACATACCCATGTCCACAAAACCAATATCGACATAGATCCTGGCACAAAGTGACCCTAGCAGATACCCAAACACAGGACCAATGATGGCAATGGTTTGGACACAACCTGTAACACATAATGTAGACAGGTCTGTTTTTTTTTCCACACAACATAATGACCCAACAATGTCATGTTAGGGCTCAATTTTGCAATTATTTTTTGTTTCTGTATTTGTAAGTGTCTTTAACCTTTTTTTCAGCATTAAACATGTGGAAGGGTGGAACCAGTGGCAAAAAGAGAATTAAAATACTATTCAAATTATTAATATCTATTAATATCAACCGTCCTATTTCTATGCCCACTAAACAGTGTTTTAGTTTGGGTTGAGGGAGGGCCTGGACCTGTACCATCTGCCATTGGGCGAGAAGAGGGGGAGACTCCTGAAAGGTCTTTTGTCTATCACAGGGCCCAAAAACAAGCAAACAAGACACACAAACATGTTTGTTTACATTCACACTAATACCTACGTTAAATTTTTCAATTAACTTCAATTATATGCATGTTAGTGGTCAGTGGGATGAAGCTGGGGTATCTGGTCATGGGGAGAGGACTCAGATTGGAATTATAACAGTAAGATCACAGCGTGAAATCACCAAACTACCATAAATTCCATCTTGTAATATATGGATCAAAATGTGAGCCGTATACATTTCCTTGGTAACAGTTGAATATATGAAATTTACAGCAATGAAAAAAATGCTTTGTGTGGCTATAAGTTGTTCCTTGCTGATATAATTCAATAAATAATTATTTGATACAGATATAATTGAGAAAGCTGCTCCCAGTGAGTGAGCTGACTTACCAATATAGAGAGCAGCATTCTCTGACTGTGCATAATCATCAATATAGGAGATTCCCAGAGGCTGTACAGGAGTCTCTCCAATCCCACGGAGGACATTTCCCAGTAACACGTAGATCCACATAGAAACACTGGACTCCTGCTCGCAGCCTACCATTAAAATGAAAAGAAGAAACGTTCAAATACAAAGAAAAAATACAAATTCGATTAAACTTGGATTTCAGCATTCATAAGCGTGACTGAGTCTTCCATAACAGGTATGCCAGGAGCTGCTGGTGCAATTTTGAGCCAAACAAAGTTCTACACTTTCACAAAAGTCTGCCTTTTTTAAAAGTAAAATATAATCTCCCACACTCTCCTACATCGTTCAGCCCACCACACAACATTGTGTCACTCATGTGGAAGTTAAATCAACAAAGTATGCCCAAAAAGTATTCTTATCAAGGATACTGTGTCACATAATCAAGAAATAAAGTCACACTCTTTTTGGCTGTCTGGCAATGTATTGGTGTATTGCAAGGCAAAAAAACATATTTTGGCCTTATGATAAAAAATAAAATATCAAGAAAAGCGTAAATCATGGTCAGAAAAAAAAGCGTGTGATAAATGTATTTAGTTGAATGGCTGTATATTATTCCATTCCATATCTTACCTCTAGATGGCAGTAAAGATGGTCTGTCACCAGCCCTGGAGGACTCAGGTGAGCTTGCTGGACATGGAGAAAGGGTATTGGTTGAATTCACTGAAGATCTAATGGTTGTTTCGATCTTATAGCTGCATATAAAATACCAATGTGACTGTTAAACAAGGGAAGTGAGAAAACATCAGGTGCTGTTAAATATTCACAGTGAGAGGAAACATATAGTCTCACACATCAAACGCATTGCATGGAGATGCTTCTATGATCAAAGAGAAAAATGGATGCCATTGGTAAACTTTCATTCACACATTCAGTTTGTATACCCACCGGCCAATGATGAAATGAGGCATGGCGATCAAAAAGGTTCCTAAGGACATCAAGACACATCCGATTGCTATGATCTTGGGTCGGTGAAGCTTAGCCCCAAAATAACTCACAAAAGCAATCACCAGCAAATTCCCTAAAGGGTTGAACGGATCAGAAACAGAGATGGAAAGCAGTCAAAGGCATTAAACATGATACCTACCGCACAGAAAAAGTTATTACGGTCTATCATGGCTGCACTCCACATACAGTGAAATACATGTTATCCTCTCATTCTCATCTCAGTGGCAGATCTACTAGGAAGACAGACAATCCAAAGCTTCTGACCTATATTCTGTTTGCATTCCCAAAAGAGTTTGGACACCCAAAAGATTTGTGCACTCAAAACCCATATTTCACAGCTTTTAAAAGATTCCAACTCTTTTTCTTACACTGCATCCATGGCCTTTTGCCTGTCAGACTGATTATTGAGATACTGATGCCCAAAAGAGTGGATAAAACACGTAAAATGAATGCTTATCCTTGAATTTTTACTCCGTTTTTGATTCGATGAGTTGATACGAACAGAATATTATCTTTCTTATGTGTATAAAGTCCAACAAAGACTTCCCAACGAGCTACTTGTCACATTTTTTTTCCTATCTCTTACGTGTGCTTTTACATTCACCTGGGGGCATAAATTAAGTCAGGCACTCAAAAACAGTAACTACACGGCAAAGAGGAGCACAAGGATGGAAGAAAAAAATCTCACCTATCTCAAAGCTCCCATCGATGATCCCGATCAGATAGCTGGGTATGTCAAATCGCCTCTCTAGTTGTGTAATTGTGCTCTTCATGTAGCTGCCAGATAAGGCCTTGGCAAAGTAAGCAAAGGACAAAGCTGCAAGGAACATCTACGGATTGAAAAATATACAAAAACAAATAGGAATGTGAAGTGTTTCTGCTCAAAACATATTTGAGTGTATGACTCCTGCTCCTGAAAGAATGAAATAAAATGAAATATATAATACAAAATATATATAGTACAAAAGCAAACAATACAATTTTGTGCGAACATTGAAAACAAATAAAAATTACAACTTCCTGTTGAAGCCCCAGTAATCGAAGTTCCTCAGGAACCCCTTCTTTTTAAGAGTTTGAGCTCAGTTTCAAACTATGGTTGAAGAGTTCTATGTTCAAACACATTTTTGTAATTGATAATGAAGCTGTACAGTTTACGTATGTATGGAGAAGCTGTGGGTCTGAAGAATCTGAGCAAAAGCTTTGCACTTGAATCAAGTGATATTTGGACTGAGGTCCCTTTTATACATTCCAATAAGACTTCAGCAAACACTTAAAAGAATAAACAAACCTCTTTAATATCTTTTTTTTAATCAGAATCTGTCAATAAAAAGATAAGAGTTTTCTTTGATTTGTTTAAATTGACTTAAACTCCAACGCAATGATTTGAGCCACATTTACTCTAAATGAACGTATAAATAACAAAGAAATGAACTAATGCACCAAAGAATGCACATATGTCTCTGACAAACAGTGAGTACACATGACATGCAGGATGAATGGGTCTTTGAGAACAGGAAGCTGGTATTGTTATGGAGCCAGAGTGTCTAAGACTCCTTGTTCCTTTTGCTAAACCACCTGTGGACACTGACAGTTGCAACAAAGGGAAGCCAAGAGAAACAAATCCTCAGAGGACACATCCACTTCACTTTGAGCTGATAGCATAATTGAAAACAGGTGAGGTAACTAAAGCCTCAATGTCGAGGATGAAAATAGCTCAAGCTCCAAAGAGACACGCGTAACAGATATCCTGCATACACGTCACAAACCAGAAACGTAAGAATTGAACATTTCTTAGAATATGTATCATTAACACCCATCATAAGATGGGAAAATGCATCCCCAGTCCCCCACTAAAGAAGCGTCTCAGTCCAAATTAAACAGAGCAGAAGCCAACTCGCAGGTCATGGTAGGAAATGTTGGTTTAGCTTACTCCACACTGGCTGAGAGGCGTTCACATGCGCTCAAGCATTGTAACACATTATCACAGCCACACCATCTGACATAAAATGGAACAGAAAAGCCAGGATCACAACACATACGAAAGACAAATGAGACCACGTCATCATTCTCCATCTTGAGATTGCATGTTGGATCAAGAATGATCTTTTTCACTATGGCAAAAGATGACAAGAGACATTATATCAATATTGATGAGTTCATAAACATATGGATTTGCAAGGAATTTTAAAAGCTCTCCAAATGCTCTTAAATAGATCACTGACGGTATTACGGCTACAATAAGCTAATAATGCACGGCTTTGGGTGGGATAAAGTGAGATACAAAGAATAAAAATAAGGAATGTTTGGTTTCCAGCAGCTTTTCTTCGTTCCATTTCCTTAGAATTATCATTAACAATGGAATGTACGCCAGTACTGAGTTAAGCTCATTCTGTACACAAAGTTCACAGACATCAGCATCAGATTTTCTTCTTTAAATGGAAAATGAGTCTTGAAATCTGCCAAAAAATAAAACCATTAGTGCCACCTCCGGCACTGATGGCCCTATCTCAGTCTCATATCTATCAAGAACACTTTTTATATTTTTGTGTGAACTGAAACCCAGACATTTAAAACAATTTCAATCTCAACTGACATACGTACCAGGAAAACTCTTTTTTTACAGGAACAAGAGAAGTGCTGTATTACCAGCCACATGAGAGGTTATTTGTAGGATTAATGTGCAGAAGCAAAACACAAGGACAAAAAAGCTGCTAAGTCTAGAATTCTCTCTAAATATATCACTAAGCAGCTTTGTAATTATTGTTCACTATGCTCCTTAATCCACCAAATAGGTGCACTCTGTTCTTACCCATATTTTTTAAAACAAACTTTGCACAAAGAAAGCCCTACCCATAAAATGAATCATAATTTTCTTGGTGCTACAAGTGGGCCTGTTTCTTCAGCTTCCTTCAAGGTGAAATTCTTTGATAAATTGTTACGTCCAAATCGATGGCATAGCTGGCCCAACCAAGGTGAAATGCAGTATAGGAGTACTACTCCTGTCATTACATTCCCATCCTACCTGAAATCCAGCACAAAAATGAACGCTATCATCAGGCAGCACCACCAGCTGGTAGCTATTACACCTGCCATCATTTGAAAGAATTGTCAGGAACTCCACCCCTTACCACTCAGGTTTGATCCTCAACACTTTGCAGAAAGAGCAAACACTTCCACAAAGGATGTGTTCTGCACACGTCTTTGTCCCACCTGGAGCAGCAGGGGAGCTAAGTGTGGTTTGTAGACCTTAGCTCCTCATTAACAATATCCTACCCAGAACTCTGATGTCCATACCATTAAACTCAGCAGACCGGTCCAAATTCTGGTTTCTTTGGGTAGGTTGCAGGACGACCAGCCCTTGATCTCTGACACCACTTCAGTTGTAAAGAACACACTCAATCAATATTTCTGTGTGGGGGTTCTCCAGCTACACAGCGAAAGAAAGAAAGGTGCACAAGAGGGTGGTCCGCTTGTGAAAAAGTAATTTGTCTCCTTTCAAGCTGCGTAGCCTAAATATCTACACAAGACAAACCGGAATCCTAACTGGTGAACTACTCCATAGATGGCTTTGAAAGTCCTCAGCGTATGGTATCAAATGTGCTTTCCAGATGATTCACTTTGCGCATGTTTGCATGACCTCTCTCTGGTATGCAGAACCCACTCTGGCATGTGGACCTCCATTTATTGTAAGACCCCAATGATAATGTGCAAAAAAAAAAGGTTATGCACTAATTTAGATGCACTAGTAGATTTTTAATGCCTTCAAACTATGGAAACATCATAATGCATTATACTACCATATGATCTGTTTTGGAAATTAAACATCTCGAAAAAACCATGGCACAGCAAAGCAAACCCAAGCACACCCAGTAAACCTTGGTTTCAATCACATTGCATTTTAAGACAAACAATGCTCTCCATTCTGACAAAGAATATAGTGTAAAGCACAGTAAAGGATAAAGTTTAGTACCTTGAGATTGGGGTGGCAGTTCTTCACTACAGAGGAGGCAGGGGTGTTGTTTACTGTCCAGCTGCCTGTGGCCATTTTGTCAATTTTTCTCATGGTGGTCTCGTGTTCTGTGTTTTCAGGAGAGTACTCTGGCTCACACCTGCTGGAGGTAACAGATAAAAAGTTTAATAGAAGGGTCACTATAAAAGAACATACTCACAGCAGAAACATAGAGGTTTTCAGTGTTTTTTGGGGTATCTGGGCAAATTAGATTGACAAAGTCATTTCAAGTCCTTATCTTAGAGGCCCTTTATTTGAAAGCAGCAACATTTCTCTGGTTTTCTAAAGCTTACTTTACTCAAAGGTAAAATAAGCTGTTAGCTGGTTTCCAATGACGATCACTCCACTGGGATAAATTTAGCAAAACACATCCTTGACAACTTCAAAAGTGACACTTAAAACAAGCTTCTGTTCTCCAGAATGACAGACTACTCCTTTGTCTTGTCATTAAGTTGTCTTACCCTTTCAATTGGATTTTTATCTCTAATGCAGTTAGTAAATTGACTGTTTGAGGCAGCTCATTTTTGTGTTTACTTTCAGTCTGTCATATTAGCCAAATGTTTTGTAAATGTATTCATGCAAATTCAAAGTTTTTGGAAAGCTGAAGGCAGTTAGCGGCTCTGACTCATGATCTGCACCACCATGTAATTCATCAAATATATGCCAAATAGTTCAAGTACGCAAAATTACTGTTAATGCTCCATGCTAAATAAAAGATATTACTTTGTTAGTCATCTTTGGATGATGAGTTGTTGTCTTCAGCATTGCTTTTTCATCCCCTAGTACCCAAGAAGCAGTCAGTGCTATGACTATAAACCCAGACGGTTAATTCTAAGAAAAGCACCACACTTCATGGCTTCAAAAATAAAAAGAAACTGATGACATAAAGGCCTTTATGTTCGTCTAATTTGAGTCCACGTTCAGAGTCTTCACACAGACTTTACAGCCTGACCCCTGTATTTCTATCTGACGCAACTATAAGGCACTCACAAAGAAGTGAGGAGCAATCTGACTCATTTTAAAACACAATGATGACAGTTCAGCTGGTATGGGCAATTCTGCTAATGGGCCACCTTTTGAAAACGACCAGAAAAGCATTTTGCAAGCAAGAGCGGAAATACTTCATCAGATTTATTTGAAGCTGGAGTGTGGATTTGCTCCATTAGAGTCTGTTCATTTCCAGCATTCCTTCTTCACAATTAAACCGCCTTTTCTTAGAGTTATGCTGAGACTTAGGCAAGGCTGCCCGCTCAGATCTACCCAGGAGGAGGGTGGAGAACGATTACTTCATAAATCTAGAGTCTTAGTCTAAATCTGTTTGATGCCGTTTGGTATTTGCTGCATTTGGGGGAAATTTGGAGGAGCGCTCAAGATGAAAATGTTCAATGTAAAACAGGTTGTATTGACCCCGTGTGTAGAATGAAAACACTCACGGGCACGGATCATAATCAACACTGTTCAGGCTAAAGACTTAAAGACTCAAAAGTAAAGAGGAGAGGAAAAATCAAATCTCCAGGTTCGATCTAAACAGGAGAAAACATCAGCCATCTGATTTTCTTTATCATTATCATCCTCCTCGACATAGTCAACTTGAGTCGATTCTCTTTTTTGGATTTATTAGATTGGGTAAAGTCCCTGCTGTTCCCACGGACTATTTGTGCGCACTGCACCAGCAAAAGTGTTTGATGATTCACTGACACCGAGCTTTTTCTACCACTTACATAATTATCCCAAAAATGCTCCAAATTCGCATAACACGTTGACAAACTACCATCTCCTATCCTCACCGTGTTGCGCTTGCACGTACACTACTGTGTTCATAAAAAAAAAAAGAGTCAATCTCGCTTACCTGATGCGAGCTTCTAATTGTTCCGCTCAGAACAGCCTCTCACTTCTGACACAAGAGCAGGGACGAAATACAAACCTGTGACGTCTAAAGGGAAGCCTTCAGCCGTGTTGGGATGAACTCTTCATTAAGTCTCCTCCGCGGGGAGAGCTCAGCCGCAGAGACCTGCGTGCGTCGCACTGACTGCGCACTGACCGCGGGTGCGCGCCGTGGAGAACATGACTAACAAACTGATTTCACATCCAGCGGTGTCTCTCGCTTGCGCTCAACAATATCCGAGTATTTAAGATTCATTGCAAACATCTAACGTGTCGTTTTAAAGCAACCGCACAAAAAGGATCATTCGGATATCCTCAATTAGTTCAACCAACCGGAAAGACCTGTAGCGCGTTAAAGGCTCAGCGGCTTTGTTTTTGCAGTGTTTTCAGCTTTCAGGGAAGACAAAAAAGACGAGATTTTAGAATCTTTGCGTCCAAACACGTATGAATCTTTTTTACACAATAATTTGGACACTGAATTTAACTCTGTTTCATCAGCTAATCTGCTTACTCCTCTGAAAACACTCCACTTTAGACAGGCCAATTCAGTCCACCTACTCGTTCAAATGAAATAAGTAGCTTTATCTTATTGCTCCCAAATGTTAGGAGCTTGTCTGTATGATTGAACTGTCACTAAAGCAGCTGCTTTTTCAATATCCTGTTCGTAAACTTCAAACAGGGAGATTCAGCCTTTAGAAACAGTGTGTGAATCTTAGAATGACGTGGCTGACTATGAATAGCATTTCAGGACACCAGTGAGAGTCCAATGCTTTGCCCTGTGCAGTCTGGAACTCAGTGGGATGAGGTTTAAAAACATTACTGTTAAAAACAAACTGTTATGTCAAATCTGAGAAATTCATAAAAATAACTTATATCACTAACATCACAGAGAGATCAATAAAAGAGTACATTACCACACCAAATGTTCCTTCTACATTGCTCTAATGCCTTTGCTAAAACTCTTCAGCTAACCCTTTTTCAATAATGGAATAATTCAAGATCTCATACATTAAAAGAAAGGTTTAAATACTTTGGTACCTCTGGCTGAATAGCCGTCATTAGATCGGGACATAATTCCTCTATTAGGTCCCTGACACAACAGGTGATCAGACCATAATTCTCAAGTTTTTCTGTTGCCATGGGGATACAGTAGATTTTCCTGTAAATGGAAAGTCCAAACCCTCCTCTATAGCTTTATTGTCAGTCAAATTCATGGATATTTACCCCCATGGTGCTCTAATAGTGTATTTCACAGAATTAATGAGGCAAGGCTTTAGTTGTATAATAATGTATCAACGATTTTGGAGACAATCAATTTGAAGATGTGTGTGTCTCAGGATGATGTGGACTGATGTCCATGTTAATCATTTTGGAAATAACTGTTCACTGCTTAGTGCTTAGTTATGTTCCCTTGGAGCAAAACAGTTACCTGTTCCAGTCTTTGCTTTCATTGGGTAGTGTGCATCCTCATGTCTGTGTGGGTTCTCTCATTGTGCTTTGTCTTCCTTCCGTAGGGACAAAACAGGCATTTTTGGTTAATTGGTGTGTTTGCTTTGACGATTAGAGTGAGCTGGCTCATGCATGGTTGTTTGTCTTGCAGAGTTTTGACCTGTAAGGGATGATCCCCACGTCCCGATCCCCACGGCAACTGGGATGTGTTTCAATAACGACTGTTTCAGGCTGAACAAATGGGAATTGCTTTACCTGTTATAGATACTGGTCACTCACAATTTAAGGAGTGAAAACTTTTTCCAGAGGAGAATCTAAGCTTGCAGCTGCTCAGAATAGTGGCACCAGAATTAGTCACTATCCAATTTAAGCAAAAACAATACTTTTGATAATGTGTCTCAATGAGACCGAGAGTAACTACACAAAATAAATTAAACTGTGAAAGCGAGGATTTTCTGTGAAACATAAACACAGAAATACCATTAGCCTTTAAATCATACTCATTGAGAATGGACTTAGCTAAGTTTGGGTTCACCACGTCATAAGGAATAGCAACTTCCACTTAATTTGGGCAGTTTACATGCCTTTACAATTTCATTAAAGTATGTTCTTTACAAAAACAAAAAAAAAGAACACAACAATGCAAGGATACCACAGAAATTGTAATTTTGTAATTCAATGTATTCACATTACAACATCCACATGGTTCAGTTTTGTGACGTATAATGATCTTCAAATATATTCACTGTATGATACATAATACCAATATAGGCACTTCCAGTAAGTCTGGCAATATTGAAGCTACAGTATAGTGTCTAAATTACAAAATGGTAAAAATAAATAATGTTTATCTAAAAGAGTTTTTGTAGTTTTAAAATTTCTTTACTGTACAGCATATATGTATATTGTACAAAATGGAGCATCAACCTGCAAGGAAATTCATTATTTTACCCTCATAAATACTGTGTATTTGGACAAATTCTTCCGTAAGTACGTGTGGTAAGTGCAAGGTACTAGTGAGAAGAAAGCAAGTCATTATTTAATCATGTGTCAACTATATAAAAATACTTATCTCATTTTGTTTACATAATTGTAAAGCTTGTTGAGTTCCCCTGGTTACAGTTATTTTACATGTGTGAATAAGTGTGACAATCAAATATAACAAATTGTGAGGAAAAAAACACACACTATAAAACTGATATACTATATCAGCTTAAATGCAAGAGGTTGATTAAAAGCTAATGTGTTGGTGGGATAAAAATGCATACACTGTTGGGTCTAAAAAGTGCCGTCACCAACAAATCAATGCATGGACAGGACCCAAATGTCTTCCAAAATGAGTGATGTTGTACAACAAATGCCCTACTACCTTTGCCAGCATGGCTAAGCAGTACTCAGATCAAAGAGGAAGCACTAGGAGAAATACATTAAAGGACCCTCTGTGAATAATAAGTCAGATGAAAATATGCAAAGAATTGAGCAACTCATACTGCATCCCTTTGGCCTTAATGACTTCAGCATCTCTGCCTGTTAGGGAAAGTAGCATCCTCCTCCCAAACAGTAGAAAATAACTAAACATGGGACAGTCACATTAGGGGGGCCGCTGGATGAATTGAAAACACACGCTGTCCTTTTATCATACACACGGTTTCCTACACTGTATATACATTCCATGTGTTGGAGTATTTTAACATTATGTAATTGCAATATTTGAATGTAGGAGTGGAAAGCAGGAATTCTATAAACCAAGTCATCATATTAAGATGGCCGTGTTACACCGATTTATCTTCGGGAGATTTCTGACGTGAGGTTTAAGAATACTGAATTAAATATGTCCATGGTGAATGTAATGATGGTTCAACCTTCACAGGCACATGTTACACGGAAAAGAGAAAACGCGCACAGCATATTTAAATCCGAAGAGTGAGGCGAGCACTCAGGGACACAGTGGGTTAAACAACTCGAGTCTCATGTATGCCATGGGGTGAATGTGTACAACGCCTGACTCTTCAGATGGACAACCAATTATTGAGCCTGTGTGTGGCCTCCCACCCCTCCCGTCTTAGCGAAGCGTGTAGCAGAGCAGAGGTTACAGTAAATAGGCCATTGAGGGTGCAGTGTTCTATTCACTGCAGCAAGGAACAGTGCGTGGTTACAGAGCCTATCAACAAACTATCGAAATGATACAAGGACAGAATGTTTTTCAGGCAATCTACATGTGTGTCGCTCACCGTTGTGAGGATTAGTTAAAAGACGTGATGTAGAGGAGGGCTTCAGTAGTGCAGGAAAACCCCTGCAGAGAGGAGATGCATTAAGGTAGGGAGCTGTGGGCGTCACAAAGACGTTTTTCTAAATCTATGAGAAATAGTTTTTCCTCACTTTGCATTGTTGTAAACGTAATATGCTTTTTTTTTTAGGTAATATACATTGAAAGCACTGGTGCTAATGAGGACTCAAGAGAGTGGGTTTTTAGGCTTTGAAAACGTACCCCCTGCTGTTTCGCCGCACAATGCTTTGGCCTTTTGCCTGCCGTTCCCAAACACCCACATTCAGTTCTACTAGTGCGTCTATCAAAGTGTGGCCATGGCCATTTTTTCCATCACAGTTTTGAAAATTTGGTATTTCAGACGAACACAACGTTTCAACGAACTCCTCAAATTTTGCAAGACTGTTTGCTTGACTCTTTTTTTTTTCACGAGAGAAGAAAACACTTTCCCAGAATTAGCAAAGAAGTACTGAGCCTTTTCTTCATGTGAATGATCACAAGACTAGTCAGCTGTTTCCACTTTTAGATAAGAAGCCTGGATAGAACCATCTGATTTCAAAGGATGATTACAGCACGCTAGGTGGTATAAATATCCTAAAGCCCCTTCCCCATTTCTCCCTCCAAAGTGACTACACTTATTTTTTACCTTCTCCACACAAAAACTACGAGCACAACTCTCCCTCCTCAAATGGCAGAAAGCAAAAAGTTCAACTTTCCTAACCCAACTTTATAACAGAAATAAACCTAGGAGTTTCAGTTTTGCCACTCACTGGAGAAAAGTGCCTTTATGACATCGGCCACTCTGCCTTAATTTTTTCACAAATTAAGAGAAAAGGTACAAATGAAACAATAAGAAATCAGCAAGTTATTTGACCAGTTTTAGATTCTGGTTTGTAGGGAAATGTTAAAAAAATTCATTTAAGTCTTAATGTGAGTTTTCAACGTGTCTGTATTCTGAAAGGGTTTCTGCTCATTGAATAATAAAATCTGTCTGCTGTTAACTGTAGGAGGATGAATCTCTCCCTGAGGTGCCAGGAGAATCATGCAGATTCTCTGGGTGAAGATCACTGGAAAACTGAGCGGTGGGGTGTACAAGTACTGTTTGTTCAACGCTGTCATGACCATGATTTACTGGAATCTCAAAAGTCGTAATTATTTTTCCTGAGGTTTAAAAGTCTGCGTCATTTGTAGGTTTTTACAAGATGACAATTCAGCATTTACAGTGAGTAACACAGCACCTTGAGTTCAGTTCACATATCGTCTAAATGAAAACCTGGGCGTCACAAACGGGCCTGAGATGAGAAGCTAATGAGGAGGTGAATTAAAGTGTAATACCACTGTGGTTGCTGAACGCTGGTTTCAAAAAGCATACGCTTTTCAAATGCAAAGTCACGTCAATTTTGAGTTTCACTGTTTGTCTTCTGTGTGCTAAACATATGGTCTAAACACAGCCATGAAATGGTTCCCAGAAGACCAATATGGCAACACCCAAATGCCAAACTAAGGACTTAATAACAGCAGATCACAGGTTTTTCTTGTGGGTGCTCATATTAAGATATTATAAATTGGGGTTTCTAAATGATTTAGTCGCTTTTTAATCATGATCATTAAGTGTTTGAGGCAGTGATGTCATGCTTATCTTATTCACAAATAAGATGATCTGCAGAGGAAATGTGTACATGAGCACAAAAACACAGTAAAACAGAAATGAAGACATATATAAACTGAGTGGAATCTCAAGATTATGTGACTCACTGAAAAAAGTTATCCGTGATGGTATTCAGTACTTCGTATGGCAGCAAATACAAAATATAATAGGCATAAATATTCGATTTTGGACGGTAACGCTCAAAAGTGAGTTATTAATTCTGTAAGTTGAGAATGAGGAAGATTGCTCCTCAATAGATTCACTCCCTTTAAAATCCAAGTTTAGAAAAGAAAACAAAGGAAAAAAAGAAACTATGGGGCCCCATTCACACCAAACATAACAGCACAAATAACTGGTGTCTATATACATACATACACACACACACATATATATATATATATATATATATGTGTGTGTGTGTGTGTTTGTGTGTGTGCGTGGGTGTGTTTCTGTGTGTATATAAACATAAAAAAATTATTTATAAGCTGGCAGCAAATTTCTGCAGTCCCATGTTAGCACACAGGGTTGTTGATGCCTGTGCAACTACTTGTCATCTTCTCTTGACAGTAGGAAAAGAGTCAGTATCCCAAAGTCCATGAATCCTTTATTGCAACATGGAAAGCCCCATTTAAATGTCTGGTGAAACGGCATAGCCAGGATAAAAGTCCATCCATCCATCCATCCATCCATCATCCACCGCTCATCCGGGGTCGGGTCTGGGGGGCATCAGCCTGAGCGGGGAAACCCAAACTTCCCTCTCCCCAGCGGAAGAAACTTATTTCGGCCGCTTTTATGCGCGATCTTGTTCTTTTGGTCACTACCCAAAGTTCGTGACCATAGATGATGGTGGGAGCGTAGATGGACCGATAAATCGGGATGGACCGGTCCAGGGCCCGCACTACTGCCCCACTTCTGACCCATTTCGCAACCAAGACCCCGAGGTTAAGAGTATAAAGCGCAAAATATCCCACCCTGTTTTTTCTTTTTTTTTTGTTGTTTGTTTGTTTGTTTTTTTTGTATAGGCACGCATTTCCCAAACATCTACAGTGTTGTGTCTAAGTGATGTGCTGGCACAAATAGGAGTCAGTAAATTGGATTGGAAAAAAAAAAGTAACACTTCTTCACGTCCTCGTACTGACTGATGCCATGGAGAGTTTCACTGGGGGTCCCCTTCATCTAGCTCCTCAGGGGGTTTACAGTCTTCATCCTCTGGATGCTCTCCTGCTACCTGCTCCTCTCTGCTGCCCGAATCCTCCTCTTCCTCATCAATAGCCAGGATCGGTTCAGCTACATTGTTTAAATGTACAGATTCTGCCCCTTGACCAGCAGTATTCTTGGCCTCCTCTTCGATCACCTTCTTCCACATCTCGTGGTTCTCCAGCAAGTGCTGGGTGATCTGGCGGAATACTTTCCCTCTTTTCTTGGGAGTTGCTTTCTCTGCAAGAAAAAAAACACAAAATGAAGAAAATTCTCCATGTACAATAACTACTTTTAATCTTTTATTGCTACGATTGGAAGACTTCGTCTTTGTGCCAGTGCCCCTATTGCAGGTTCATTTGGGGCTGTAATGCTTACGTGATGCTTCTGAGCTGGTGGATGCATCCTCCTCTACGGTATCCTCCTCCTCCTCTTCCTCCTCTTCCTCGTTCTCTGTCATCTCTGGGTCTTCTTCTTCTTCTGGGTTCGGCTCCACCCATCGTCCGGGTATCAGGCTGGCTGAGTCGTAGGAGTTACACAGCGGTCCAACAATGTGTGTGATGAAGGATTCCTGGAGTTTGGCCAGCTGCGGTGCTGCCCGGTCCATGAAGGGGCTCACAGGAAGGCCCAGACTGGACTCCTCATCCCCCTGTAGAGCACGAGCGACGAGTGTAACATATCAACAAGCTAAAAAGTCCCAAGACACAATTAATTTTTTCAAATATCATTACCTGCAGCCAATGGGAATAAGCTGATATAACATGAGGTTTTATTTCAAAGTAGAAACATCCTAAAATGAGAGATTTGTTCTGGCTGAGCGGCTCAGCAAGCCAAGTTAGGTATGTATTCTAATCAGTGAATTAATTCCTCATGTTTAATTTATAACAACAATACTATTTCATTTGGAATTTAGTCCATTTCTGGATGGAAGTTCAGTAATACTTGTAAAATAGAAGACCCCCACAACATCTGTGAATTAACAAAATACAACAGGATTTTATTCTGAGGCAAGATTGTCCAAGAAATTCATCTCATGGCCCACAGAAAGGCACAGCATGTGTGATGTCTATGACGTCTTAATAGACCAGAACAAACAACATCTACGGCCAGGTTTTTCTGGTTGCCTTGGTAACTGACCCCAGGTGTCATCTGTATTAGAATACCTGCGTTTCAGCTGGGCAGCAAGATACTGAAGTCAGATGTGATGAGATTCATCATAAGACTGGAAAGCAGACAAAGCCATAATTTGATGGAATTTCTTAAGATCTAAGCAGACATACATGCTCGGAAAAAACGAGGGGAGGGTGAGCTCCGAGATCCAGCTGTTCCCATGACAACAATCTAAACAGATGGTTTTTATGAATCCAGTGGCTAAAAAGCTGGTAGAAAGCCCTACGTTTACTGAGCTGCCAGGCCAAAGTGTCAAAATATTTATTCAAATTCTGCTTTACACTTACACAAAATTTGTTTAGGCCCTGCAAAAGATTTATTAAAAAAACTTTGGTAGTTCACATTTGTACACATTGTTGTGGGCATGGCTCATCGTTAGTCGTGACTATAAAACTAGGGCCTTGTCTTTTTTCACTTCTGCTCAATGACATTAAAACAACCGTTATGGAAGTGTTTGGCTGTTGTTCTTTTCCTCTAATTGGCCCTTCCACCTAGCTGGGGTTACATAAGAGTCTGTGCATAGTCGGCATAAGCCAGAGGCAATTAGCAGATAACAGCAGACAATCAACGCCAAGAGGACGTCCTACAACAAAGACCACTGAGGGTGGAATCAGGTTAAGGGCATGAGTACAGCGCTGTATTCATGCCTTTTGCTCATGAGAACACATTGACTGTGCACATTACCGCATTATACTGGTCAGATGCGGCAGCTTTTAACCCGATTGTTGTCTCAGTATTTTTTGGTAGACAATGGGGAAAAGTGTGGAAACAGCACGGGTAGAGACGCGGCTCTTTGTTTTAATCATTTTGATTCAGTTAAACTCCTGCCTTGATAATAACAACATTAAATCTTAACATATCCAACCTGCATAATTCAGTCGGAAAACCTCTATATTTTAACAGTGCCTCATGAGAATTTATCAATGACAACTGAAAGAATATTTTATCATAGGATGGAATATTTTTCTGTTTAAATCCAGGCCTTAGCTCCAATCAGACACCACACTTGTACCTGTTCATAGAACTCGTTAACAATGCCCTCCGTCCACTGCAGATGTAGCTCCTTGCACTTCAGAGGCCCGTTGATGTCTGCCAGTTTGATGCACATCTGGCAGACCAACAACCTGTCGTTTTCATTCGACCAGTCGATGCCTGTTGTTGGATCATCACCAACCTGAGGGACCAGCGGAAAGACATGTTTGTCATGTTTGCACTGATCAGAGTTGGACGACACAAAGAGGGAAATCTAGATGAAACATAAATGTGTTGTCTTTGATCAGCTGGTCAGAGATTGTGCACCTATGCTAAATTCTGGCAAAGCACTGATGGAGCGTCCATAGGATGTCACAATGTTTTTAACCAACAGGTAATGTAAAAAGCAAGGATTTTACCTTTGCATTGAACTCAGCAAGGAAGTCAAAGTGCTTTTTCAGGTCCGTGGCCAGTATGGCCTCGATAACCAGAAAGCGGAATCGTTTGAACTCCACATGATCGAGGTTTACAAGGAAGTTGTACTCTGGCTGTGACATGAAGAGGTTCCAGGCTGAAGCTGCGTGGTGGTTCTCCAGAACCGAGCGGTCATTATAGAGCACTGCCTGCAAACAAACACACACACCAACAGTCATGGATTAAAGTGAAAGAAATTCTTGACTGACATTTCCCAGAATGCATTTTGCCGCAACTGACAGCGGTAAAGCTGCTATCAGAATCAGAATCAGAAATGCTTTAATAATCCTAAAGGGAAAATGTTTAAATTATCTAAAATCTCTTTCTTAAGTTTTAAGATTTTTTCTGCGATAAATTACCAGTTCAAATCCTTAATATGCGATTAATTTATCTTAAAAACATTTTATCTTAGAAGACTGTTCCTCCTGACCATCTACAGCTGTACGGAGCTTACACTTTTATCAAATCGATTGTCAGTGAGGTGATTGTCTGATTCTAATGCAAAAGACTGTCCAATACTGTTTAGAAGAGTAAAAGATAAAACTAAAGAAAATAAATAAACACTTAAGCAAACACCATCTTTGATTAAGATCAGACGCTGTTTTAATCTAACCAGTACGTTTCATAACTGGAGTACCTGTGGGGCGCTGGTGGCCACGAGGAAAGCGTTTGTCCGCCCGGGGTGATCGTAGTCGTGCATTGCAGCGGCCACGTAAAGGGCCATCAGCTCCAGAGCAGGTATGAGGCCTGACAGGCAGCCGTAACCATCCTCCGACACAGTGTAGGTCTTTGAAACCAGGAAGCCCATATGACTGTGTGTTATTCCGCTGTCGGAATCTAGCCACAGGGGAGAGAACACAGCCAGGAGATTTAGAAGCTGGGTGGCAGAACTTACACAGCACACATACTGTACTTCCATGTGCATGTGCCACTAATGCTCTCTAAAGTCCACACACACACACACACACAAATACGAACTTGATCGTTCAAATCCATTTACATGTGGATCAAAGGGATGGCCCTGGTAAGGCATACAAATGAGGATATGGAAATATGGGTGAGGGGGGGGGGGACTCTAATCCGCCAGCAATTTCATGCTGTTTTAGACTTCAAATAGTGTTTGGTACGTAAATGCGAGTGCCAAAAGCCCGAGTAAGATAAGACAAACTGTGAGTTGGATAGGAACACACATTCCTGCAGGTTGGATGATCTTACATTATTACGGCGCCTCGCAGTGAGGCTGTACACAGATGGAAAAAGTCAAACAAAAAAAGGTCGACCCGCATATTGGTAATTTTTAAGGTTGCGAATTACTTTGAATGTGAATACTACATTAAAAAAAACCTGAATGTAGGTGGAACAACATAATAGAAACCTTTGATGAGTGATTGTTTCACATCCAGACCAGCTGCCCTACAAGACCTGCAGAGCTGATGGACATACCTGAGTCACTGGCAGAGCCGTGGTCAGTCATGAGGCTGGGCAGACCGGGAATAGCCTGCGTGGTGAGGTACCAAACCGCATGAAGTACGTCGGTAGCATGGACCCTGTTGTGATCTGGATTAGGGAGAAAAAGAAGTTTGCTCAGAACATAATTTTCTCCACCAGGGAGCACTGTTGGGCTTGCCATGTGTTTTTATAACAATGTGATATTCCAGAAAATGACAGCATTGGAAAGACTGTAGAGTGCTTCCATCTAGTGGTTTCATTCAGTATTACAGCTATAAAAATAATCAAAATAAACCCAAGCAAAACTTTATAGCTTACATGGTATGTCTCTGTAACCATTCTCGAGGGCATGGAAGTAGTTCATGAATTCTTTTACCGGGATCTTAAACGTCTCAAACAGGCCAGTGTCTTCAAAAAGCCTGTAAGATACCTGCAACACAAGGATCAGAGCCTCGTCAGAGTCTGTGCAGAGCAGCTGACTTGGATACTTTACCAGATGTGACGAAACCCCTGTCTGATATGGATTGTGTATGATGCTTGCTCTAATATGCAAATATTAATTGTAAAATGTACCACGACACACATGAAATATAAAGAACACATAAGACATTCATGCAACAAAAAAGAAGAGATTTCTAAACTACCACTCAAAAAGTTCTCCCTCTAACCATTATGTATTTTCTCCTGCACAAGTCTTCACAGACATGTTTAGCTGTTCTTCAAATATGAACCATTAGGGATTCACCCCGACTTCTGGTCTCTCTGACGCTCTCACCTGACTGAGGATCCGTCCACACTTCCCATTCGTCTTCTCCATCAAGGTGAAGATGGGGAAGTTCCAATTGTTAAGCTGACTCATTAGAGGCTCCAGGTCCTCCATTATTAACGGCTCCGGTGCCAGAATTGGTTGGACCTGTGCGTACGACATGTCCAACTGCACATTTGTGTTTTGTCTCTGTCTCAACAATGTGTGAGAGGGCCTGGACTTACCTCGGGAGGCATTAATGCATGCAGCATGACACTCTGGGAGGCTTTTTTCCCTTCGTCCGTGTCCTCCTCTGTGTGTGCTACATCACTGCTGTCACTGTGGTTGGCTTCGTGGGTGCTGTCATAGTCTGATGATACAACAACTTGGTCCTCTGAGGTAAAACAGAAACAAAGCATTCTCAGTATTGTGGTCTAGGGGGGAAAAATCCACCATAAATCTCCCTAAACCATAAAATAATCAACAAGTTTCTTTCTCAACTAATCTTTCACTCCGACAGATAGATATAACATATTTGTGAGAATACAGTTCTCTAAACAGATTTCTAATCTTAACGTGATTCACGTTTGACAGCAGAGAACTTCAACTTTTCTTTGTACTAATTCTATTATTTTTATGATGTGAACTAATGACATACTGAAACACAAATATGTTTTCCTAGTTAGACAGCAAAAAGCAGATCACTGATGACACCCATGTGTTTGGGTTTTCCGTTTTGTGAATATGTTTTCCTTTATCAGCTAACATCTGATACACTTCCAAAGACGTTGAAATTCTCAGACAATATTGGAGCTAGTGGCAGAATGAAAGAAAACACATGGAAAACAACATACCTGATCGTGGTATCCTGTCTCCCTTGTCTATTGAGCCCTCACCATGGTTCAGTCTGATGTATGGTCTCCCACAACTGCAGAAAAGAGGGCATACACATATGAGGATATTACAAAAATAAATTGGAACTGTATAATACACTAAGTGAAAATGGGCTGTTTTTTTCCACAGTAAAGCTTTGGAGACTCACTTTCATTCTTTTGACAGTAAACAAGATCCCACTGTGTAAATCTTTCACTTTTTAGGGAAACTAAGGATCAGACTTTAAGCGTCCACTATAGAGATTTATACACAGATCTCTTCTAGAAATGATAAGTTTAACTATTTATTTAATTATATGTCAATTATTTACATTTACACAAATCTTTTTGTTCGACAAAGTAAAAAGAAATACTCTTTGTAGCTACACTGAAATAAAGTCGGAATAATGCCATTCACCACATCTGTGTCTGATAACTAAAAACTCTGAAAAAACTGTCAGGGAAAAAACTTAATGGGATCCCTACTGTGCTGTCCCACAGACATTGTACAGATGCTGCAAGAAAGTACTCATTAATGAAGCTAATGGATGCACACATTAAAACATCTCAATGGGAATAAGCAGCATAACAAATTTGAAACATTTGCCGGCCATGGCCTTGTTATAAATTACTCATTAGCATGCAAGTCCGCCCTCTTTGAGATTTATGACAGAGAGGCATCCGCCTCATGAGCAACCAACTGCAACCCACGATCTTGGAGACAGATGAGTGTTTTCACGTGTAGTGACCCGTTTATAAATCAAACTGTAAGTGTCATCTTTTTGTGAAGGGGTCTAGTCGCGGTGGGAAGCCTCCCTGAGCTGCTCCCAACAGTTGCTCCATGTTTCTCCCCCTGTCAGGCTGTAGGTGGTTCCAATTAAAATACCTCTCCCTAAATGTTGTAAAACCTGCCTTCTCGGAGCAGGAAATGCCTGCCGTTAGCGCATGGTGTCACAGGGAGCACAAAGGCCTGTAGTGTGTCTATCTCCTCCTGATAAAGTGTTTCTGGAACACTCCGTAGGTGTACCCACCCAGTATAGTGGTCTGGGCCTCTAACAAAGGGCGTTCTGTTGTATTTGCGTGGCCAGGTTGGACCGCTATGTCTAATGCCTAGCAGGTGTGGAATATAAAATAGTTTGATAGTTTGGCGGTTGAACAGTTAGAACATTATTGTCAGGGGGTCTGGGCAGGCAGCAGCATTTGGCCTAAGAGGGTTTAGTTTTAATGAAAGTTGAAGAGCTGGCAGACACTTTCACTATTCTGCTAATGCAGCAGAATAACCTCAACTACTGACATTGAGCCTCCAGCGCAGAATTTAAATAAGGAGGTCGGTCATTTTAGCTGGAGAAATCTGTCACTCAGGTAACAAAGGACTCTGCTTTCATCTCAGAATTAAAGAAACACAACACAGTGCACTTACAGCAGTTAGCTTTGTAGTTAAAGTAATTTAACTGTCTCACTGAGAAATAGTCATATATTATGAAAACGTGATGCGCATACCAGCATGTACTGCATATACTTGAAACCTGTCTGAGAGAAATAATATTTATCTTCTCCGTTAGGATATGCTGTGACTTAGTTTTTTAGGCAGGATGAATTATGTCAGGGAAAAGCCTGGATCTCAGAGTGTTGGCAGTTGGTTGTAGTTTGGTGTTCATGGGGCCAGCTCACTATCAAATGAGTAAACCTTGTCTAACTTCTCAACTTTATGTGGTTTGGGTCTCTTTGTAGAATTGCTTTCAGGAATACAACACAAACAGAAAATAATTTGTGCTGATGGAAACAAGATTGTGCAGAAACAAACAAAAACAAAAAAGCTAAATACATAGTGAAAGTTTCAGATCTGCAAAAATATCATTTTCCTGATTAACTAATCTGTTAATTATTTCTTGAACATACAAACTTGAGTGTGTGACCACAATGCAAATTCTCTGTTAAAAAAAAAAAGTCCATTCATTCAACAAGCACATATAATGCCCAAGAAGCAAATGGCTTAATTACATTTAAATTACCTATTTTTGATGGCTGCACAAACTTTTTTTTTCTGTCAACATAAAAGATAATTCGGGTCTTTACAGATTTGTTTATTGTAAATTTGTTGTAAATGAGAAATCTGAAACCAGAGGGTAGTTTTTCATGCTTTTTCTTGATTTCTTTGCTTACTCTCTACTACATTTTTAAACACTAAAGGAAAAGCTCTGTAACCACTTCTCTCTGGATGTTTGGAGGCGCATGGTAAGCTCCAACTGGCCTCTGCTTGCTCCCCTTTGCTGCATTTTACTCCCAGATTTTAGACTCCACCACTCGCAGCAGGTTGACAGATTGCCTTTGGTTCAGGGCCCAAACGGACAGTGTCCAAGCCACGATAAACACAGCGGCCATTATTTCAGCTTCCAGTAAACTACCTGCTCATGCGCCAGATGACGCGAAGAAGATAACAGCACAGTGGCTCGGCCTGAGAGAAATGAAAGATATCTTTTGGGCCTTTTTCACAGGCCTGTCCGATAACAAGCCGATATTGTTGGCTTTGAAGTTGGTGTTATTCCTTCTTGACACTGTACGTCATCGAAGGCTGACATGATGGAAAATGAAGTGGGGAGGAAAAGAGAAGCCTAATGTCCTAATTAAGATTGTTCAGATTTGATGAGGGAGCATAGAGGAGGGAATTGAAGCCATGTGTTCATTTTCTTCTAACCTCTCCTCCATGTGTTTTCTCCCTCCATCTTTTCCAACAGTTCTCTAAGGACATGTTATACATCAGGGGAGATTATTGCTGTTTTGTTTGATTTGTAAAAGAATTCATGTATGATAGCATTTTTGGTTAGACACAAAAATAAGCATGTCCCATAAATAGATTTTTTTTTAAAACTCTCTTCAGCTCACTGTGACAGATTTGAAGTATAGCGCACAAAACAGTAAGAGCTTGATAAGTTTGATCAGCAAGCTGTTTTGAGTTGGCATGTTCCTACCTATTACTAAAGGCACTGTCGTCTACTTAGTTTCTAGCATCTAGGTAAGAGTCGGAGGACGAAAACAAAACCTAACCTAACCTAACCTAAGTACAGCTCAGACGAGACCAGCAAACTCTGCTGCGATTTTCTCAGTGTACTTCAATTGTGTGTGTGTGTAACGTGTGCCAGAAGGAGCAGCTGTGACAGTGTGTGTGCGTTAATCGCGGGCTTATGGTGACAGGGGAGAGGCCCAGGTGTTTGTTTACACTCACACCGCCCTAAGTGGCTGTAACTGAAACCCTCTGCCAGGCCGGCTGACGCTGTAAGGCCGGGCGACGAGGCTTTGTGTACATAAGCTGCTCAGTGTGCTTACATTTACACAACTTGCTCAAGTGTCAGACTGTCATTGTGCAAACAGACTCAAACGAGTCACTGAAAGATGCAGCCCACACAGGTCTTTGTAGAGCTTAAGATACAAAGGAAAACTATGCGTGGAACGTGTTGCAGTAAATAAAATCGTTTTCCAGTGGATTAAAACAACATGAGGGATAAATGTAGAGGGCACTGAAGCTGTACAGCCGACTTGTTTAATTACATATTTTTATCAGCTGTAGACACAAAGAATTACATTTGGCCAGCTTCTTGTTATTAATGAATTTACTGACTGAATTATAAACTGAAAAAAATGTAATAATATTTCACATAATTGTTGAAATTGAAGTTTTTCAAGTGTTACATGCCTTGAGCTGATGGATACAGCAGAGCACGAATCTGTCCTTTCTTACAGAAAAATGGAAATACAGATCAAATTCACACTTTGATTTGTCACTGGAGTGGTGTGTCAATTAAGAGGAAGAATACAGTGGTGTGTTGCCACGAGTGAAAGGGATCCAGTGATTGATAGGATTTCTACAATGAGCCTGGTAACATTGATGAAGCCTGCCCACCAAGTCAAAAAATCAACAAAGATTTTTCACTGTCCACAGTGATACTGTAAGGACCCTCAGGTAGCTGTAACTAACCAAAAAATGTCATTAGATGACAAAGTCATCAGAACACGTTAGTGTGTCCAGTGTTTTTACCAATGCTCAGAATGGCTTCACACATCCACATATAATTTCATCTATTAACTACTGTCTAAGCACCGCCCCAACAGCCATCTTTTTCATGAACTGACTGGGACATACCGACATTACATTACATTACTGTTGAAGAATACTGTTTCTTTAAACAAACGCTTATATATACAGAAGTAGTAGTATATCCCATCTAAACCTACACACGTTGCCCTCCTCATGCAAAATAACTAAAGTCTTTGCCCGTAATCTTTGTCTTCTAAATACATTTTGGAGCCAGTGCTGTTCAGGCAGAGAGGGAGACTAGCTGCTACAAAGAAATTAAATCAAAGCATGCAAAACTTTTCCTGTAGACGCTGATTATAACCTAACAAACATTTTAATGACCATAATATGGGCTCTTAAAATCTGACATCTTATGTTTCTCAGATGAAAGAATACTGAGGGTTTATCTATTCAGAGCCAAAGGTGGTCTTATGGGCCAGATAACATTTTTCCAATCATAATAGTTTAGGTAATTACCTTGCAGAACAGGAGGCGTGTGTTTTATGGGAACAATTCAGTGTTACAGTACGGTTGTTATCATTTATTAACTTCATCAAATAAATTATCCCACAAAAAAACATTTCTAAATATGTGGCTGGCTTCATTGGATGAATTCACTTAAAACAGACATTTTCAGTAAGTCTCAAAGAAACACATGAATCAAACTGCATGAGGTACAATAAGATGCTACCTTCCTTTATTTATTCACTCATTATACATCCGAGTCAACATGGCTGCCCTAAGGATGTTATTTGTCTCGAAATCAGAAAAAAGAATAAATAAATCATGCAAACAGTAGTATTTTTATAAAATTGTTCAAATGAAATTAGTTTCTAAATTAATCTGAGTGGGGACATAAACCACGCAGTTTTAGAGTCATGCCTCATTTCACATCTGCAATGCCAGGTTTAAACAATTGTTAACAAGTTTCAGGAAGATTGCAAAAGCAATAAATTAGTTCTTATCTCAACCTTTGCTTACTGGTCCAGTAAGTGCATGAGAGGGCAGATTTAAATCTCCACACGTTGCTCAAAGAAACTGATGATGGCTCTTTTTTATTTCTAATTTTTTTCCGGACATTAAACTTTAAAGAATGTTAAAATGAATAGATGGATATGCCTATTTACAGTCTGTGTGTACACATATGCATATGGATGATTACGCCATTAGAGTATAAAAGTCTGCAGCAATTGTGTTGTTTAAATTCCAGCAGGCAACTGAGTAAAACAATCAGACGTGGTTTCCTGATGTTTTCATCTACATATCATAAATTGAGATACAGTTTCAGATTAAAGATCAGACTCGATCTCGAAAATAAAATATGAAAAAACTCTCTTTTGCTTTGATATTTTCAATATTTTAAAAACCAAGGACCCTGAGCCGCTTTAACCAGATTATGCATCACAAAAATACTGCAGGCACTCATTTTGGAACGCACAAGCATTCAGGTTAGACGATTTTAAAGCTGAGACCTAATTTTCTACCCCTTTAAAATTCTAAATAAACATTGTTTTTTGTTCAAAGTTTATCCAAACATAAAGTCACGGCAATCAGAAACTAATTATAAGGAATGCAATTTCAGTTCTGATCAGAGTAAATTGTGCATCAATAGTTCACTCGGTGATCCAAATTATTCTCATAAATTTGGCCACTTAGTTTGTTCAAGGCATCTGTCTGATTCAGAGTGAAAACAGTCCCACCAAATTCGGTGCAGATTTACTGTCTGTGTTTGTCCCATCTACGCACCAGTGTTCATGAGCAACGCTGCAACCTCCCCCTCCCTCTAACCAATAACGTGAAAGTCCACAAAGCACCCAGACAAAACACTGTGAAATATACAGTGGAATATAGATCTACTTTTGAACTGTGACGTTTGAGTGTAGACTGAGTGCCGTGCTGTCTTCAGCATTAATGCGCCTGGGGTTGATGTGTGTCTTAGTTATTCAGGTTAATGCATTTGCCTGTGGAGCATATTTCCATTCTGGCTCCCATCGCACACACATCGTTTTCCAAACTGCTGTGCCATTTCTGTTTGCGCACAGATTTTTTTGGTCTGACGGCAGCCACACTGCTGAGAGAACCTAATAACCTTCAAAGCCCTGTGGCGGCCATTGTCCTCCACAAAGCATCGTCCATGCACTCAGTTAGACGGCATAGAGTAAGTCCTAACTAATAAGATTTGTTCTTTGCTTTAAATGAATAAACCTGTAGTCATGTAATTCATTACTTTGCTCATATCAGCAATGGATTTGAATGTTTTTTGTTTTCATTATTCAAGTATTAATTTGGAGAGGGTTTTTAAACATGAAAAGCCAAAATAAACAAGCTTATAATGTATACAACATATTGAATTTGTTGAAAGTTTCAGCCTGTTAACTAACCAAAGCCTTGTGTGTGTCCAAGAATGATCTATATTGACTGCATCTTGGGAATTATCTGTTTAACCATTTACACACAGTTTTGACAGCATGTTATCAGAATTTAACCAATTGGTTAACAGCCAGCTAACTACCAAAGCAAGGGCATGCCAGAAGTGGATCATGCTTGAATACCAACGTTTTTGTCAAGTCAAACTGGAATTACATCATCACTGACGGAGACGCTGCCAGGATGACCACTTTGAACCACTGTGGTGGTAAAATCCTGCTCTTTCACAACCAGCAAGCACACGACAAGGTGAATAGAGTAGTGAAGAGAGCTGACTACCCCAAACATTGTCAGAGTAACCCAATACTACCATCTGTCTGACTGTTGAAACTTGGACAATTCTGGGCTCTTCAAAAATCAAAGCTGATTGTGAAATACATAAATCACACTAAGAAAACTTTGGCAGGACCTCCGGCTGTGTTAAAAATCTGCTTCGTGCCAGGAAACTGACAAATTGCAAACCGAACAAAAAACAGGGTGTCACATAATTCGCCGAAATCCTGAAGCCTGCTAAGAACAAACAAAATCAAATCAAGATTATATGGATATAATTATTTTCTTTTTTCCTTTTAGGATAGGCCTATGTGTTGGGCAATCCTTCCTCTGCAGGAAAAAAACACATCAGTGAAGTCATTCTAAGCTCACTGCTGCCATGATAATCATACTTGTGAGTATGAGTGGGTTTCCACAGCAGGATCTGTAAGAAAAAAGACAGAAGAAAAGGAATGTGGATTATTCAGCGGTGGCTCCATTACCTGCAGGTGAGTGTGTCGTGGAAGGGCTTGATGCTGGCGCTGCGGTCTCTCCGGACGGGTCCGGGCTCTATGGTGGGCAGTCCGGTCGCAGAGGTGGTGGTGGTCCATGTGGAGGAGATCCTCCTGAGAAGGGCAGGATGGAGACTCCTCCTCAGACGCTGCACACATGAAACACAGAACAAGCGTCCACATGACCTTATCATCAATCGATAACTTGATGAATCAAATCAATGAGAGTAGTGTTAGAAAACGTCACTCACATGACTTTGGTACCCATAAACACAACTCTAAAATGACTCCCATCATTATTTTTCAGTTTTCCTCCATCCAGAAGCATCAACTACTTGAGAATGATTCACGCATGATTAAGCCAAGCTAAAATGAATTAAACAGGTGATAAAATGCAACAAATCTCAGGAGATTTTTTTTTTCAAAGACAATGAAAACTGTTGACATTGAAGACTGAAGAGTACTTTCAGGCAGCCTCCCATTGCTACATCCACCATCAGTATTGCGTCGTGCATACATTTATTACATCATATGGATTGTGCCTGTTTACTTCTCATTCTCTCTTTGAGTCTCCGCCTCATTTTCTCAGCCACACGTTTCATCTGTTTGTCCTTTGCTCTTTCCCTGGATTCCCACTGGTCCGAGCCCTCGTGATGCCTCCATCTGTTCACTGCCATGCAGCGGTTTGGCACAGCAACACCAAACATGGCTGACTCTCTTTTTCCCAGTCCTCTGCAGGGTGACCTACTCACATCTCTCAATAAGCACCATCATGAACGTCATGTACTGAGGGACAGCTCACACAGTTTGTGTCCATGTAAATCTCTGCCTTAGATCTGAAAGAGCAACATACCAGCATAACGCACACACTATTTATTTATAAAAGAATTATGAAGAAGAAATTCCATAAATATGTATGCTTTTATTCCAAATTCAAAGTGGAAGAATGTTTTTCCTTTGCTTTTTGTTGTGCATAGCTCTACTTTCTACTAAGGGTAAAGTAATGGCCACAAAATACAAACCCACAAATGCACATCACAAAAGTGCACACATGTTGCCATTGGCAACAGCACGGCAAATTCAGGCCATCTTCACAAAGTTAAAACATTTTTTCCTAAATTGCTGATGCCTGCCGCTGATACCGTAACTCCTTCCTCTGTGAGAGTTTCAAAGAAAAAGTGAGAACACTGTAATACTAAACAACTCAAACGTCTCTGTAAAACATTCTGTGTGCATTCACTTCCCTTGTTATTTTCAGCAGAGACTGTATTTGCTACCATTAGGCACCAAATTGGCCAGCAGACAGAAAAAAGCCTCCTTTTTTCAATAACCGCCTTCTCTCCTCACATTATTTTTCTCCCTGGCAGTTCGAGTTGAGCCCTAATGGACAGGAAAGTCATAATGACAGCAGCGTCACTGCTTCCTCCAGGTGCAGTTTGTCTTTTCTACATTTACCAAATTCACAAGACGTAAAATAGCACCTGTCAGAGAGGTGGCTCGCCTGACTGACAGCGTTGTAAACACGGCCCACACACCAGCCTCCATGACAGCCAGAGTTGGTATACTCTGTGGAAAAGGATGCGTTTCTTTGGTTGGGGTCACATTCTGTTCATAAGAGCCTCTTTTTGTAACTTTCTGAAAAATGCATTCGGCGTCCTCTCCTCTACGACATCCCTCACATACGCACATTCACACACTTTGTCTGGCTCTGCACATCTGTCATGTTGACACAGCTGTGGCTATGAAAGGGAGAACATTGCTCCGAGCAGTCGACGTGCTCCATTTTTCTTAAACCAACTCTAAGAAAATATACTCTTTCATTTGATGCTTAAAGCTCAGAGAACAGGATGCACTCATTAGCTACAACATGGGCGGAGGGTTGTAGGGAGTGTTTCGTAAATCCTTTGCCCTTAATAACGCAGACCATATTGCCATCTAATGATTATTGCAGTTGTTTCCAAATGAAACAGTTTTTTTTTTTTTGTCTGGCTTATAACTACTTTTCATTACCAGCTCCCACTTCTAAGACCCTTGCTGTAATTTCTCTGCTCCACAGTGGAACATGTCTTCCTCCCAAAGCGTAAATCATTTATTTATTCTCTCACCTTAGGTATGGACGTCTTCTCTCCTTTCTCTGGTCCCTCCTCCGAGTCGGAGCAGGTGTAAGCATCGCTGGGGTTGAGCAGGGAGGTGGGGCGTGGTCGGTGCAGCGGCTGGAAGGTGAGCTGGGTGGTGAGCAGGTTACTCACGGCCCGCAGTGAAGTGCAGGTGTTGGGTGGCAGCGAGGGGTCAGCTAGCAGGTCTGTGATCAGTCCGTGAGCCTCTCCCATGACTGCTATGTCCACCATAACAGTCGTGCCTGAAGACTGCGAATTGCCAAAGAGAATGAGGAGTGAGAAATACTATTAACATCATAAGAGTGAGTAATGTTTTACAAATCTAGTTATCAATTAGTCTAATTGTGTCTCAAAAGTTTTTCACAAGAAAAAAAATCAATATATATACATATTTTTTTCTTCCTTTTACAAAAAATCAAAATAAATATAGATATAAATACATGATACCATTAAACAAAAAATAATTAATTATGATTGCAATTATTTTACACTTACTCAGAGGAAATATTGTGTTGTAGAAAGTCCTCAAAGTTTCATAGTGTTTTATAGCTTTTGTACGTATACATCTACTAACAAGTCAAAGGCTTCCCCCTATACCTTATTTGGCTCTTTGCAGCTCACAATAGAACATAAATATTAAGAGGAGCAGAGAGCAGTAATTCATCACCTGTAAAACATCTGAACGAAACACACTCAGTGCTTTACTGAAACATCTGTGTGTTACTGGATGCTTAATGAATAGATTCATTAGCAAGTCTCAGCTGGAATTTGAGCCTTGGCCTCCACAACCCCAACCTCTCAGACGAGCAGCAGCCAAAGTGGGTTTCTGCCGCGCGGCTTTGAAGGCGTCAGCGTAGTGGGAGCTAGTCGTGTTTTTGCCAGCCAAAGTGAAAAGTTCACAACCCACTCCTAATTGCTTTGCCTCGAGCCGTTGAATGGCCACTGCTAAGCACAGGTCAGTTTTGCCGCTGGCTAATTTATCTAATAAACCCACAAGTTCCCATTTTCCCCTCAAAGAATGTTATCAGATTTTTCTCATCTCGCTTTGACACCAGCTGCCAGGCATCCAGAATTATTCTATTTACTCTGGCAGGGCAGCGGTGTGCCAGTTGACTTGAACAACACATATATGAGCACCTTTCATAAATCTCATCTTGTGTGGGAACGGAAGAGGTTTCCCATTTTATCTTCACAACATCTCAACTGATTAGCCAGCTATAGAGATTAAACCATTTCTACTTTTGGTCAGCAAAAACACAATAGATGGGATCTCAGAGAGTGTTGGGTTTACACATATTCAGACACATTTTCATTGATTAGTTTGGTTTGTTCATAATACACAGTGACACATTTTCAGCAAATTAAACACAGCATATCACAACAAGGCCCTCACAGCGACTGTCAGGCCGAAGTATTCAGGGGTCATTTAAGGCCATGTGTGACAACTGAAGTTTGTCTTAAACTAAATCATGGGTCAGGACCATGACATAAGGCACAGCAGCAAATCTACAACAGATAAATTAAATGTTGTGGTTGGACCTTAAGAGAGTTGTGTGGAAATTAATGTCCACAAACTTCAATAAAATGATGCAACTTTATCTAGAAGAATGGACCAAATATTTCCACAATGACGTGAGAAACTCACAACGTCTCTCAGATCAGTTCATTCAAGTTGTTTCTGCTGTGTGGTTCTACAAGCTTTAAAACCCTCTCTCATTTTTATTCTCATTTCTTTACTCAGCGGTGCAGGATGTGGTGGGGGAAGATCTGTCAGCTCAGTTCAGGCTGATGGAACCGTTTACAAAGGGAGGATTCAGTAGTTACCAAAAACATCTGGCTGGAGAGAGACAACAGGTCATCTTCTGTGGTTTTAGTGGAAAAACATACAGATACACATAAACACAAATAAAACTGCAAGTGATTGGTACTTTATCCTACTTTCCAATGTACTTCCAACAAACAACAAAAGCGAGTGAAAAGAAGAGTATCGTGCAAAACATTGAAATTGCCAGACTTCCAGAACAGGTTTTGTACTGTTTCTTAATATCACTCTTATTAAGCTGAAAGTATGTCCATATTTACATAAAACAAACATATTTGTTTACAGCTATTGAAACAACTTTATAAAGGTAAATAAAAGATTTAAGATTTCATGAAATGTTATATGCAGCACTGGTTCTTACTAGAATGGAAAGTTGTTGGTAATGTTGAAATTTTCCCACAATGTGCAACTTAAAACTTAAGAATCATCAGTGGACATGCTGGAAAGGATTGTATTGTGAGGAAGTTGCATAATACCATACAGTTATATAAGCACTTCCTGTCAGGTTACATGATCAGTTTCATTCATCATCCATGGCTACCTCTGCAGCTTTCTCATTGGATACATCTTAAGCAAGCCTCTCACACCAAATACTCTGGAAGAAGAACATTATTACCTAAAATGCAATCGCAGATAAAAGGCAATACATTGATGGGTACTGTACATTGATGTAATAACTACAGTTGTCCTGCTGTCAAATGCAGCTGGTCAAGATAGTCTCCTGTTGTAAAAATGATTTATCTTAGGTGTATAATAACACAAAAACATATATATTTTACATTCTTTGTGTGATTAAAAACAATGCGCTAACTGTGAGGTTGAGTCGTAGTAATCGTACATGCTCTTCTCTCCAGCTGTTTTGTAGAACATTCAAAGCAACACGTGATCCCATCTGGGAACTCTCAGCAACTGTTTGCAACTAGCTCACACTCCTCTTTGTACTGAGAATATGCTGAGAAATGCACCCTTCAGAGAAAGTCATTGATCAAGCACTTGAGAGAGTTGTACGGAAGAGGTCAGTACTTTAAATTCAACAGCATAAGGAAAATGTTGTGTCTTTGATGATGGAATAAAACAAAAGCCTTCCAGGTTTATAATGAGTCATCATTTCGTTGCTATTCATTGTTCCTGTGAGCTTGGCCTGTCAGTCAACAATGGAAGTGTCAAGGCTGCATGTTGGATGTGTGACAAACAACCATAAATTCAGATGCAGTAAAATATTTGAACGCTTGATGATCTGCATTGTAGTATTATAGAAAAAGGTCTAAATTAATGTCCTGACCTTTTTAAAATTAAGGAGTACAAATTGACAGTCGAATGTTTTACTTTTTATTTCTTGCAGAGAAATTGAGGTGTTTCTCACGTCACGACAAAGAGCGCTTTGAAAGAATTTTCCAAAAACAGAAATAACTGGATGACTTCATGCTGCACTTACAGCATGATTACAGTAACACAAATCCTGACACACCGATTGACTCTCCTAATTTGACCCCTGTGCCAACCCCTTCCATCACAGAATATGCTCAGATCTGCCTTAAACCCATCCCCTGCTTTGGTTGACATGCTGCATTAAGCAAAACAGAACTATCAGCATCAATAAATAGTTTTTATGACTCCTCAGCAAACTTAGTCATACACTAACCATGCATGAACACTCCGTTATGACATTTCACTATGACTAACAACAGTGTTCATGATCAATGGCCCTAATTGCTCGTGTGAACACAGCTTGGAACACTATATCAATAGACACGCCATAGATTAACACCAGCATAGCAGTTCATATAAACTAAGCAAAAGTACAGTCAAAACAAACCAGCAATCATTCCTGAAGAGTGAGAGGCTGTTTTCCACACAGATTCTCTGTATCTGAGGCCCCAGTTAGCTATGAATGTAGGTTTAGTTGTAACGGTGAGCACTAGCACAATAAATAAACTTCATGTGAATGTCATACCAGAGATTTAATTTGATAAGTTTCACTCAAAAGTTGACTTGCATTGGGTTTGATAAATGATCGAAATAATATTTTTCTGTGAAATAACACAGAAAACTAAGAATGGTAAAAATGTACCCCTGTGTAAACATAAGCATTCATTGTATTTAATAACTCAGAATATTTACATTTCTCACAATGAACATTATGTTTTACAAGCAACCCAATCGACCCTTGCAACAACTCGGAGCCATGGAAATATGACTGTTCGTGTTCCTGCTGTGTCCACATGTACTTTGCCAACAAATGGAAAATGCAGAGGACAGATGAAATCCATTTGGTGCAAAAATGTTAAAGTTTCTGTCTAACAAAGACTATTAATAGTGTAGACACAGAGAGGTCACATATTTGTAATTTCTGGGATGGTCCACTTTATGCACTTTTAGCCGCTCTGTTCCCTCATCTAAACATAAAGTCCCTCGAAGCTTTGAGTAAAACCCAGGACCTCTAAAGTTGTGCAATGGTGAGAATATAATGTATCCCAGAGGACAGCTAGAAATGCACAAGTGCCTCAAAGGCCTGCTGCAAAGCATTTCAATCTCACAGAACACACAACTCAACATTGCAAGCAGCTCCGCGTTTTCAAATGCCAAAAATACAGAAACTGGAGTGCTTATTTAACAATTAACACCACGCTCAAAGCCCGTAACACAGGAATGACTGTGTTTCTTGCTTTCATCGCATATACACAGAGCTTCAATGATGTTTAAAAGATCATTAACTTTCAGTTTTCTATTTCAGTGGCTATGTGATGTCTGTGATTCTATCTGCCCAAATGGATTAGTTGAAAGAGATGGCGATGATCTCTACTTACAAAGACAGAGGGCTGATGCACTGTGAGTCACAGCAGCAGAGTAACATAAAACTCCACCGAGACAGCCACTGCAGCCAAAACTACGGACAGCAGCACTTCACTCACAGCCTCCTCGCCCTCACTCATGGTATAACCCAACTCGCCTCTCAGACCGAGCACCGAGCCAGGTCCTAAGCTGCAGCCAGCGTACAATTACACTTTTTTTTCTATGATTTATAGCATACTAGGGGTCAGGGATTGTGAGGAATCAAAACTGGAAAATGTCCCTGATTTCCAGTAAATCGAACCCCAACATGCAACCATCTAAACAGTTTTTTCTTCCACATATTTAAGGTTGTTTAGTTCTCAGAGCCCAGATTTTTTTCTTAAAAGGCACGACAATATGAAAAACAGAGGAAAAAATACAGTCACACAGACAGAAGCAAGAAAATCTGACATTAAGATCAAAGTGAAATAAAACAGAGATGAGGTGAAACAGTTCAGGCTGATGGTAGCATATTCTGCACATTAAGTGATATGATACAAAATACCACAAAATACAGCTGGCATAACATACATCCTTTGTCAGAACTGCAGCTTACACAACAGTAAGGAAAATCTTGCTAAATGAGTAGGTATGCTGTAAATGAAAAACTAATTCCATATACTCTTCACCTCCCCTCAGAGTACAGCTCACAGAAATATTTGGAAAGACACCAACAGCTCTGACACGGCCTCGAGTGGTGTTGACACATAGTGTGTTGAAAGTAAATGCTGGCACAGTTGGGAGAAGCCAGTGGAAAGTCAATAAGCAGCTTTGTCGTGGTGGAGCATACCTATCCTTGCTTTGACGGGCACACAAATTCCATCACACAATTTAAGTTCTGTAAAAATCCAGAGATTTGTGCCACTGAGCCACAAGGGATGTAAATAGGGTCTGTAACTTTTTCACCATACTCCTCAGTATGCTTATCATTTCACTTTTTATTTTAGTCTGTTTTCTTAGGTAACATAAAAACTAAACTACGGTAGGTAAGGATTAGGCTCTTTTTTTGTGCAAATGTCTCCTACAGTGCAGCAACAGAATTGTCTTTTTACTATCTTCTGATCGTCCAGGGGTGCAACTTAATGGGACTAGAACGGTCAGCCTGGTGATTTAGTCAGACATGGGACTGCTGGTAAAAAAATGCTTTTATATTACAAATAAGGGAATACGATGATGCACATCATAAAGCGTACAAAGCTGAAACCTACATTTGCATCTGCATCATCCCATACAGGTTATTATTATGTATGTGTAACACTGAGACTATAGGATTTATACATTTCTATAGTGTGGCTACCTTGTTATGCTGCGCCCCTCATGAACATCATTTCGGTAGTTTTGTGTTATTTCACTGACAGACAGAAAACACAGACAGCGTGGATGGGGCCTGAAAAAGAGAATGTCTCTTTTTGAACTCCCTAAGAAGCTATTTAAGTGACATTAATCTGGGTTTGAAATGCTCTCAGTGATTTTTAAAGGTCTCTAACGTGAATCCAGCATCATCATTTTTCTGCCTCTGAGGCCACTCTTCCAGCCTTTCTTTGACTAAGAATAACAAAATCCAGGCCTACAAACACTCCTTTCTCTCGATAATCTCCCTGGGTAACATTCCAAAACTAATGAGTTTCCAAGTTGAAAACAAATATTTAAATAGACCTTTCCATACATAACTTTACAGTCAGTTCCTAAGCTAAAACATCCACCACAGGCTTTGGAAAAAGGAAAAAGCGATTTGGTTTGGAAAATGAGCCCATTAATGTGTACATGTTGGCCTACACGACACAGAAATCAATCAAGCAGTCCCTCTCTGTGATTTGTGCACACCGTGAGGTGCCGGGGCATACTGAAGTGCGACAAGCTCCTCTGACCATCAAACCATTCCAAGACAGCAGAGCAGAGGGGAAAATAGCCACAAGATGGAGAGCAATGCCAACATAAGCCCTGACTTCTTGCAAGTCTTGTCAGCCTTTGGACTATTACAGGATTCCACTGACGAATGCACAGTTCAATTCCAGATAAAAAGACTGAACTGAATCTAAATGGCAGGTCGGGCAGCATATTCATCCAAAAAACATGTTCCTGCCTATTAGGTCCATATAAAACACTGCTATCAGTCTCAGACAATGAGTCAGACGGGCTGCGTGCTGGTTGAGAATTTCTTTGCACTGATAGTACCCATAAGGCCAGTTTAACAGCAGATAAACCACTATAAAACATTTTAGCATTTTTGTTTTCAAGTCAATTTTTTTGTGCATCCTGAGCCAAAACCTGTGGAAAAACAAAGTGAAAAAAAAACTTCCACAACAGCCACAACTCTGCAGCATGGACTGCTTTCCAGGCACGCTGTAAACTGTCGACACGCTGTAAACTGCCGGAGCAGATACACTCTCTATTCATTTCTAAAGGATATCCTCCTGATAGGAGAGCATGAATACGGGACACACTCATGCTGGATATGGCATGCCAATGCCAAGGGCATTGTTTGTTCTTCATGTGCTCCGGATTCCTGCCCAGTACCTCTGTGGCAGCTCAATACATCAATTCCCAAGCACATCCACAAATTCCCCCCCTTCCACAAATGATGAGGAAGGTTACACCAAGGATGCGGTTGTGTGTCTGTGCTCTACAAGCTGTTTCCCATGGGCCTTTACTTGTGTATCCATTCCCTTGGCCTTTAGTGGCTTTTGCAGCCACTTATACCCCAATCACATACAGTGGAATTGTGTCCCATAAAGGAATGATATAACAAGGACGCCACGCCACTGGTGGGAGGTGGCATTTATCAACATGGAGTTTGAAAAAACGTGTACGTGCACAGGCCCGGTAGAGTTCTCCTGTCAGTATCGTGCTCAGGGACCTTTCTGACTGCTGTTAACTGCTTCTACGTTAGTGGACAGTGCTGACCTGTGATCCTCGTGGGCCTCTCTTGTGGTCCCAGTCCGAACGGGGCAGCATCTGTGAGACAAAGAGAGATGTGTTCAAGCAATATTCCTCCACATCCTGCCTCTGTTAGCTTTCTCACAACCAAGGCAAAGACATAATGTAGATAAAACTATGGAAGACAAAAGGACGAGCACAAACGGTGTGGGTCATTGCTTTTATTTGTAAAGCATGGATTTGGTCTTTTCTTTCTGTTTCTTGTCTTTAAAAAAAATACAAATACAATCCTTTAAGCATACATGTCTAATGCAATTTCACAGACAGGTTTGGTTTACTTTAGCTCCTATTCAGTACTTTGGGGACTTGTGGTTGGGGCTGAGGATTTTTATGCTGTCTAATTACCAGCCACTGTACCGTCCCAGAGGCGTTGTAAATTCTACTTTCTTGGGCTTCTCCACACACACAAGCAAAGCTCTGTCACATATTTTTCAATGAGCACACTTCAGGAGAAGTCAGCATTAAACTCCTTTATTTCTGCTTGGGTTCTCTGCCCCAGAGAGGAGCTGCATTGTGAAACTTCTCTTCACACACTGAGGTAAGAAGCTCTTTGTGCGAAACTAATTTTCCATTTCTATGTGCTTTACTGACATTGGAAGCTAAGTTGTGACATATTGTAACTGAAAACATCAACAACAGTTCCATATCTCTTGCCGTAGACACGTGTGGACAACGGAATTGTTTTTAAGCTGTCCACTCAGTGGTCCACTTTTTTAAACCACTCTTTTGTTCTGCTGTTGAATCTCTTGAAATGTTTATCTGCTGGATTATTCTTAACTAATGTCAACAAACTTTCAATCTCTAACATAGAGAGAGAATTCGACCGTCCAAGTCTATACCACAAGTGTGTTATCTGTGAACCGTAAAACACGTAAACCTCCTGCCTGCCATCAGCAAAACATACAAAGCAAACAGCAGTCCAGGTGCTATCACACTTCAAGTCAAATATTCATGATCAATTTATCTATCCTCCCAAGTTTCTTCTCCCAGCTGACCTCCACCCACTTCAGGCCAGCAAAAGAAAGCACATAGAGAGACTTCTCATGTGAAATAACCCAAATTGGTCCAAACTTGGGAGTAAGTCACAAAGGACCCATCCCTCACAGGAAGGAGAAGTTGGCAGTGTGTGGAAAATTTGTGGAAAAATGTTTAAAGGGCATTTGAGGATCTATGCTGTAAATCAAGTTGGGAGAAGCAGTTAAATCAAAGTTAAATCATTTTTTTTTTTATTCATATAGCATTTTATTAAGTTTTGATAACCAAATAGCCTCTGATATAGAGCAGGATACAGTATCTGACAGGAGCCAATTTTGAAGGAGTTGGTCATCGTTCACCTCGTCCTTTGGTCAAGGTCTAAGCAACAAAAGGCAATGCAGCACAAAATGTGGTGACCCTGATAAACAAAGACGGACACTGCCTTCATTGCAAGCACTGTTTCTCCATTATGTGACATTTAGGAAGTTGAATAAAACTAAATATGTAGGCTGTTTCATCTACCGATCTCACATTGCAATTCTACACCTTGGCACCACAGACGGACCTTGGATTCCTTGATTATCACCATGAATCTCTTAAAAGCTCCACCACATGTGCTCATATCTTCTCATGCACTGAAAATAACCTAACTGGATGCAAAAAGGAAGTCAACAAATAATCAGTTGCGTAAAAGACGGACGTAGGAGATGTAAATCTCTGCAAATGATAACGTAAGCCAGTCGGTGCTTTTTCATATGAACAGCCTTCAGGAGACAGACTTAGACTACATTCAATTCTAAACATTTGGAAAAAAAATACACAAAAAACAACTGAGCATAAAATTTGAGCAACAAAGAATGAAATTATAGTCTGGCTGTTTCATCTTCTTTCACTTAAATAAGATGAAACCTCTGTGAGTCTATCACCGTCGAATGAACAAAGAATAAGATGAATGCCAGATCATCCTCTGCAAACAGCACAGACAACAAACTAGAAAACAGAGCCCTTAATGCTTCATAACCTTATTTTTTCCTTAAAAACACAGAGGAGCCGTCTCAAAGTAAACCTAAAACACATGGCAGATCACTGCCAATGTTATGTCTGAGGAGGTAAAACCACACATGAATGATTTCTTAGATATCTCCAGGTTTTTCATGGACACCCTCCAGGCAGTACAGCACAGCTGAAGTAGTAAACCTTCCAAATGGATTTGTTTTTGTCCTACAGCTCCTGTACACCTACTGGGAAAAATAACAACTTTACAGAAGTTGTGCCCTTTGTTTCACCCTCTGTTAGACTCATTATGGGTCCCCGTAACTCAGTGGCTTTCCTTCACACACAGCAGTGCTCTTGATTTATGAGTGACTGAAAACTGTCCTGGAGAGAAGAAAAACTGTTTGTCTTCAAGAAGTACTGTTTTAATTATGAAACAGAATAACACGGCACACCGAGTCAAAGCCTCGTTGTGTATGAGGTTATGTTTTTAAACCTTTTCATTATTAGGAATTTCTGTATTTGCCTGCTTGGGATCTGATGACTGGTGCATGTGTATGCTGCAAAAAAGTGCAAAAATGGTTGAAGAAATGGCCATGGAGTGCGCTGGGTGGCAAGTTTGTGGTTAACCAGATGAACAGAGTTAACCAGCAGCGGAAAAATTGAGAAAAAGGACAGCCAAGAATTCAGAAGTATATCATCTATGAGTCACAGAGAGGCATCACATAAAAACATAACATAACATCTGCAGCCTGTACTGAAAGAAAAAAATCTGAAAAAGTAATCTAGTTGCTCACGACTCTTTCAAGTTTATTCTATTTTTAAATATATCATTTGAAGAAGAGATTTGGATGGTTTTGCAGTTCTGGACTAAAGCTTGATGCATCATACATCAAAAGTGAGTCAGTGACAAGAAGAATTTAAGTGTAAGAGCACGATGCCTCTCCCCCCAAAAAAAAGAAAGCAAAGCAGAATAGAATAGAAAGTGGAACAAACCAGTCTGATGCATAAAAGATACTAATGGAAGATTGAAGTTCAACAGATATAACCTTCTCTGTTTGTACAAGATACCTTTTTTAAAGATTTCATTCACCAAACATCAGTGGTTCATAAAGTGTTCACTTTTCTTCTAGGTCAGAATATAATTCTCCCGCAAGCCATCGTGTTATTAGGGACATTAACTCCCTCTAAACCATCTGCAGGTTTGCCAATTAACTTCCAAAATTAACTCTCATTCACCTGATCCATGCTTTCATCCAAGCAGATCTAGATGTCAACAACCACATGCTGAACTCAGTCTTTCCCCCGTTTTGGGGCTCAATAAGTCAAATATTGCAGATCGATGAAATACAGGTGAAAAGAGTGAGGGATGACCAAAGAGTAAGCATATACGGCAGTATGTGATGGGTTACCACTGCCTTTGTGACTAAGGTGGCTGAACAAAATAATCAAGTAAACCTTCAGTTTCCTTGCACAGAGAGCTTATTGATGGTAGCAACAAGGAGGGCAATAAGTAATCTTGTGCTGTTTACCACTGTGGCAAGGCCTCATGGATCTGAGGTACTGGCTGCCTAACAACCAGGATGCCTTAAGAACAATGAAAGTATTGGAATATGCTTCTTATTTAACTTTCTGCTAGCAACATCCAGTTTAGAAGAGCGGTTATGTGGGTATGAAATGGAGGCAGTCACAGGAGCAGGGACAGTTACTCAAAGCTTTTTCACTTCCATTACAATCATCCTGAAGTCTTATAATAGACCAAACTCATCGTCATGAAATTAACTGCGAAATGCCTCCTCCTGTCTCTCAGTGCTCTAAAACTGCGTAGTGTCAGAGTCAGCCTTTCACTTTTCTCCTCCTTCCCCTTATTATTATTTTTTTGGGCTGTCCTATTTTCCTCCTCTTTGGTGGTTTCGTATGAATGACGTTAATGTGTGCCTATGTGGATCTTCAGTAACTGTGTTAGCTTGTTAGTGTGCTAGATTTATGATGATGCAAAGATAGTGTCCACTGAGGATGCGGTTTGACAGGTAGCTTAAGGTCTCCCTGTGCTCTTCTTTGTTGTCGGGCTCATTAAGATGGTGCTGAAGGATAAAGACATGAGTCTGCAGAATTCACATCTAAGAGTTTTATGAACCACCTCTATCGTGTATGATAAAAAACACAATGTGTGGTCTGTAAACGCCTTCATTCACATGTACCATATGCTCTGAAGAATGAGAACACGCACATTCTTACAGCCTCACTTCTACTGCTTATAGGGCTCTGAATATCCTTCTAACTTCACCGCTGCTTTGTTCTTTTATCTCTGCTCTCTGTAGTGATGTCTGTAATGCTTGACTCAGACATCCCACACTCACTTTCACTTCAGCTGACAAAAAAGAAAGTAGGTCAGATTCCTCTAAAACTTGCTGTATAGGGGCCTCAGAAATTAAAGCAGCTTAACGGAAGGGATGCAATCAAAGATTTTAAATGCACTTTCATCACAGTGCAATTGCAATTTTGACACTAGGATGTAATCTTGTTTTGCACCTGCAGGTGGAGGTGTTCTCATAATTAGTTTAGCTCCCCCCCCCCCCACCCTGTGAAACACTCTTTGCTGTGACTTTTTTTGTTTTTACAATAACTGTCACACATGTTTGGATGTAATCTCTAGCATAATGATATGAATTGGGATGTGATAATGGAACCACTTGAAATAAGCATCTATGACCCAACTAAGCAGGTATTATCCTCAGCATAAATTGAAACAGTTTATTAAATGCTGCTGAATGTGAAGAGCTTTAATTGTAGAATCTTTTGGTCTCACAGGATCTCATTATGCAGCCCTTGCTCGGAAGTGAAGACAGATGCAGGCCACCCTTCTATGAAATTAGATTACTTTATTTCCAACTGTCTGCCTTATAAATTTCTAAATTGTGTGTGCGAGAAGCAGAAGTAGTCTGCACAAACAATGTCAATTTTGGGACCGGAAAATGATCTTCAAAGATTTGAATTAAGTGGTATGGTCACACTAAGGTGTGTAAGAGCACAAGTTTTCAGGAGGCACA